AAACCACATTATTTAACTGACCAGAGCAAAATTATAACATTACACCACATTCATAATTTTATTTGTGTGTGCCACCCCAAGATGGATTTCGGACATGACGTTGAACAACTAGAATGCATTGGAATCGAAGCTGTATTCGATTCACATAGAGGAGGTAATCTAAATAAAAGATTATTACAAAGAGAGGCATTCTGGATTCATAAAATTATTTACACCAGGAGGAATGAATGAGGAGTTGGACCTTTCTGTTTTTTTTTAAACAGTTTGTTGTTAAGCTATAATATTGTGAATCATAGATTTGTCATAGACATGAATAAATGAATGATGATAACTGATATGCTATTTTCCTCTGAAATGATGTTTTTGAAGGTGAAGGTAAATATTTCTATATTGAAATAAAAATGTAATCGTTTTAAACTATTGAGTGGCCGTCTAACTAATGACACAATGTGACTGAATGTGGGATAAAAGAGTGGAGTGAGAGGATTGTGTCACACACTGAGGAAGGCATTGTGTCGAAACATCGATTTTGTATCACCTGAGTGTAAAATAAAAACTACACAAAGCAATTATTTAATGAGTGAGAATCATAAACTTCTGATAACTATTATTAAATAAATAAAAAAATACCTATGGCAACTTTAATGTAAAATAGTTTGGTATGTTTATCTTTGGCCCACGGCTCTCAGATATTTGTTCTTTTTCCCTTCATACAAAAAAGTTTGGGTTTAAAACCAGGTGTTTCAGTTTCATTGTCCAACCCCTGTACTTTGGCTTTCTAATGTTGTGGACTACAACACTATCACGGCAAAAAGTGCAGAAAAATAATTGTGAAATATAGTAATTGTTTTAAAACATATACAGTTACAGTATGCATATTGTTTGTGTTAAATATGTTAGATGTCTTCATACCTAACTGCGACTAGTTGCTCTACTTTCTGTTTAGACGGCCTCTTGGGTCAATTCAAGCTGCAATAAGATACTGTACTGTGTGTCTGTTTGTTTGTTTGTTTGTTTTTAAGTATTTTTGCTTGTGTATTCTCTAATATTTGTCCTCAACATTGTTTCACAGACTAATAATAAATGCTTAGTAGAATAATAAATGGGCTAAATGTATGAAACCCACAATTTCCCTTTTGTCAGCTAAGGAGGTTGGAAACTAGCCTAACACTTTATTTTTTCTCCAACCACAGCTATATTTACTAATAATGAAAACATATTATAATATACTAAAATATACTTCCCTTCTTCTCTCAGCGGCGTTGAGCTCTTTGAAAGAAATGCAGAACCTGCCACCCAGGCCAGTTAATCCCTACTTCCTGTTTCATTCTGGGTCTAATCCAAACATAGCACAGCTGCGCTCTAACAGCAAATTTGACCAGATTACTTTCATACAGTGCAACAGTGTAGATGAAGGGTTGCCAGATGTAGCGAATACTTTAAACAATAAACTAAGTCCATTTTGAACTAGCTAATATTATTCAGAAGGTCATGATTAAATAATTACTTTGTATAGCTTTATTTTACATTCTTAGTGGATGTAAAATAAAGCTATACAAAGTAATTATTTAATGAGTGCGAATCATAACTTTCTGAATGTTATTAATTAGATTGATGCACTAAAAGTTTTTAAAACCAAGAGCACGGAGTGCAAACTTGATTACTGAATGAGCTAATATTACACTTTACTAAAACACAGAACACCCTAAAGTCAAAGCTAAAGGGAATTTTCTAAACCGAATCACATTTGCTGTATAAAGCTGCTTTTAAAATCCCTAAAAAATGAGATTAAGTAGCCACAGCGTTTGCCAGATTGTCACAGCATTGCATCAGCACCGACTTCTAAGACGTAAACTGGAGGCGTAGCCGTTCTTAGTGACTGAATCTCTGGCTGATGAAAGAAAACATGCTTGCCGACAGAGGAGGACAATCACCTCATTGGTCATTCAGGGCTGGTTTCTATGACTCCCAGACGGGCGACCAATTACAGTGTAGCGGTACAGTTCCCGTCTACATCATTAGCGACCGAGAGTCTAGATTGATGTTTTTATCAACATCAGTAAAAGATACACGCCAGCATGGAGCGACTCGACAAGAGGGCACAGAAACCACCAAGAGCAAAATCAAAAAAGAAACACAGAAGATGAGAAGAGGAGCGGATTACATCTCTACGTCCTCCTCTCTTTGTTATGAGATTAATATTTGCCTCCATGTCTGTGAGCTCTAATCTAATGACTGCAGATATCTACAGCATTACGGCTGGACAATTACATATAGGATAGTCAGATCGCCGACTAGCACAGTAACTATCGAGATTATTTACTTTAAAACTGTAATTATAAAAGTCAATTTTCAGTAGATATAGCAAAGCACTAAGCTCTAAATAGCTGCCTGAACCGACATCTGCTTCAGACCACTGAAGTGCTGTGCCTAAACCCATCACAGGGATTTGCATCATTTATGTCAATCTAAAAATATCCTCAACCTGGAAAACCAATAGAAGACCCCGTTTCAGATTTGTATTATACACTGCATTAAAGTGGCAGTAATGTTGTGAAATGCACCCTCCATTCCTCATAAAAGCAAGATTACAGAGAGAGCACAGTCTGGGGAAAAGAAACCCAAGGAGAGACTTTTATAAACGTCAATCTGGGAATCAATAAGCATATATTCAAGAAAAAAAACAGACATGGACAGGGAAGAGGGCTTTTTAAATGGGCTGATTTTGATAAATTCCCATAAGGTGGCATAAATGTACCATATGATGGTTTGCCAACCACCATTTAACCAAAGGAGAAGAAGGTGTGACCTTGATTTTTACATGTACAGTGCTCAGCATGATTGAGTACAGCTCATTTTGAAAATTGAGTTTTCTCCATTTCTCAGTGAATATAGGCAATGTATTTTGGTGCATTTAAACAAAAAAGATTTATTAAACAAATATATATATATATATATATATATATATATATATATATATATATATATATATATATATATATATATATATATATATATATATATAATTTTTTTTTTTTTATTAAGATAATATTTTAGTCACCAAACATATTTGGAAATTGAAAGATACAATTAAATTCAAGCAAAATATTGGAAAAAAATTACAAACTACAAAATTTCAACTAAAGTTTTCTATTTTTTTTTTTTTTTTTTTGCTTCTCTTGATTTTTCCTCTTTTTTTAAAATTTGCATTTAATATTTTTCTTTAAGATATTTTTTTTTGGCTGTACTAGTTTTTGGTCCGTTATTTGACTTCAGTACTGTCTAATCTAATGTACATGCACAAATTTAATCTTGTATATCTTCCTTTTAAAATATGAATTTGTGAGGGTTGTACTTATATTTACTGAGCACTGTATAGTGTAAGCAGTCAAATACCTGCAGAACAATTAGCGTGTTTGCATATAAATTGTGAGCTTTGGTTTTAAAATCATAGCAATCTTCCCAAACAGTGTGAGCTGGCAGATTGCTGAAATCACATGGAACTCAGAGTATATGCCAGGGCCTTATGAAGGCAGATTTAAAGAATTCAAGACCTTTTTAACCACAAAAAAATTCACACTCTGACTGTTGAGAACATGCTTAGGACTGTTGGCCAAGGTTGTGCAAAATTTGGCTTTGCCATTCCAAGAATAAGTTATATTTTAAAAACATTTTAGTAGAAAGCAGCCATTTAAATTTGTTTAGCAAATCAAAACACGAGACTAAAAAAAGCCTCACTGTCCCCATACTTTTTCAAAGTGGTCTTTTTAAGTCATTTAAAGGTGCAGTAGGTGATTGTCTTCAGAAATTTTTTTTGTTGTGCAGGTTGAAATAGTCTTTACATTACAATAGTAACGATTAATGAAATGATCTAAATGTGTTTAGATGTATTTTTAGATTATGGGTGAGGCATAAGACTAAAAAAAGTTCATCTAATTAAAATTTGTCAGACCGATAATTCTGACAAGTAGCCCAAATTGTCCGTCAACAAATGTAGATTTGTACATGTGCGCAACCATTGGCGTTCACGCAGATCTGCATGCGCGCTACATTCACCTGGACACCAAAGAGACAACGGTAAAAACAAATGCTGAATCAATATTGGAGTTACTTTTGCACATTGGAGAAAGGACGACACCATGGCCGAAGTATTTCTTTTAGATGGGTAATGTGTTTCAAAGTATTTTATTCATGCAAAGCTGATGCAGATTGTGTTTTTTACGAATGTGTTATATGCACAGAAGTGTTTTTCAGCCACTGAAATCTTCCGGTGAAAGAATGATGTGATTATTTTGCATAAGGCCTTTTACAGCATCGATAATGTAGATTTTTATTTTGTTTAATAGAATATAAATATCGCTTTTCCGCCAAGCAGTGAAGTTGGTTTTATATTCAAGTTGGTTTATTTTTTAACAATGACAGCCTGTGAGGTGTATACTTGTATCGTTTATCATGCTACTCTGAATATTATCTGAAATAGCATGCAAGTATGGTTTAGCAATAAGTGTAATTCCTGCACGCTAAGCATACAGTGGTCACTTTAGGACAAAGCATGTGAGAGAGAGCAGTGATCTTTGCATGCATGAAACATTGCACATTATGACGAGTTTTGCTTGCTACACAACTGAAAACGTGCTAGATATAATACAGTTTTTCTTTCAGAATTGTAGTATTATGAAAATATCTAACTGGCGAATGACATGATCTACTGGGTCTCTGTCATCTTTAATGTGCACGTTCGTGATTTCAGGAGGCGTGTCTTTGGACAGCAGGGGAGGGATTGTGTGTCAAAGATATTATGCTAACTGGTTAGCATTTAGGCAGATCACCTACTGCACCTTTAAGATGAGACATTTTAGAATGCAAAGCAAATGTAAAAATAAGCAAAAACGACTTTCAATATCAATAAAAACCCCTTTTACATAGTTTCCCCGCACAACAAGACACATCTTGAAGCTTATAAACCCAATTTCCCTTTGTGAATGGATCTCAGACGAGCGTTTAAGAGAGTTCCGACACTTCTGTTTTAATAAAAACACATCATATAGCATTTATTAAACATGGACACTGACTCCAATGACATGCACACCAATTTTTGTCCTTTAAATGTTGAGTGTTAACATTATTGCAAACACTGGTTCCCTGCGCTTTCATGTATTATATTTTTTATTATCTTAGGATAAAAAAAGGAAAAAATAAAAGAAAACAAAAACATCGACAATTACATGGGATGTCGTGTTTTTCTGCATAATTTATCGTTATACACAGTGGGGGGTGGGGGGATAGGGAACGGGTCGGGACAGGACAAGAAGTAAGGTTTTAAAGAGGAGGGAAAGGAACGTTTGCACGCCGTAGCATTTGCAAGAAATCCTCAGGACTCTGTACAGCAGCAGAGAGCGCGCAGGAAGGGGGGAAAGGTCTTGCGCCTGCGGACAGCACGAAAAGCATTCACAGTAAGGAGGGGAAGAGCGAGGGAGAGGCGGAGAGGGTGATTGCAGCACTGACCCGGATGAAGACAGGGAGAAGGAGAGATGTGTGGTCTGCTCTTCCTCTCCTCCACTCCCCTCCCCTCTCCTCGCCTGATTGCCTAGATTTTAATCGTCTTTGACACAAAAAAGGGATTTTTTTATATATACACACAGAATAGCTACAGGACCCTCCCGCCGACCTCAGGCAACGATGTCGTTCTCCACGCGCAAAATTCATCAATTAAAATGAAGTAAAACAATATATTGGTCAGGATTTCTTCTTCTGCGATCGATGGTGTTCGACAGGACTGTCCTTGAGCTGCGGGAGGAAGGGTCCTTTCTCTTCAGTTTATTTTCAAGTTTTCTCCTTTTTTTATTTCACTGGTGTTGGTTGGTTTGTCTTGTTTTTTTTTTTAGTTTGTTTTTTTGTCCGGCATGTATTTGTTTTGTTTGTATGTAAGTGTGTGTTGATGCCAATATAAGTTCAGACTTTTGTAATCTGTGCGTGCTGTTCCTCGTCAAAAGGTTCATTTTCCGGGTCAGAATCAGTGGTGTCTGAATAACGGTAGTGATCGGGTTCATTATCACTCACGTCCGGAGTGACAGAAGTTGAAGTGCTTGCTTCTGAGTTTGAGGGCTCCTCCACGGTCTTGGTGAAATACAATTTGACCTGGGAGACAGAACAAGAACGATGCATAAGAACGAGTACTTTACTCCAGTGATTCTCCACCATGTTCCTAGAGGACTTGGAAAATGTGCAAGTTGTGTGGTTGAGAAACACTGCTTTATGCTACATAAACACAAAGTAGGACATTTATCAGAAGGTTCTGAAAAGAAGACTTGTACACTTGTAGGCTGCATTTACTTGAACAATAATACTGAAAAACAGTGATAATTTGACGTGTACAACATTTCTGATTGCTATAAATGTTGAGAATAATTGTGCTGCTTAACATTTTCTAAAGATTAAAAACATTTATTCAAGTTGGTTAACATTTATTTATTTATTAGAAATAACGCAAAAAATGTCTTAAAGGGCACCTATTTTAAACCTTTTAGAGAAGTCTTTTGTGTTTCCAGAATATGTCTTTAAAGTTTCAGCTCAAAACAGCTTTCAGATTATTTATTATACCTTTCAGAATACTGGAATTGGCAGCTCTGAACACATTGTAGCTGTTTTGTGGCCTGTACCTTTAATGCTAGTTCTCTCCACCCACATGCCTGTCAGAGTGGGCCTCAATCTGTGCTTCGACTGCTTTAGATAAACAGCACATTGACAAACATGAAGGAACCAGATCTTACATAAAGTTTTTGAAGAAATATTACAGTAAGAACTTTACCAATGATTATTTGATGTTTTTGCTGTGGAGTTAATTCAAGCCTTTCTGCAATGGTGAGTCACACACAATGTCATTACAAAGTTCATGCGCATTTAACACTGCACTGTTTTTGCACAGCAAATGTGACAGGAAACACGTTAATTTCTACTGTTTTATGGGTATCTGTTATTTTAATGTACAAAATAAACCTTATTTAACTTCCACAAACTGGGATTGAAGCGTCTTCGTTTATAATTGTACTGACATGTGACTGTGTTAATGAAGTAATGACGGCAAAGTCGCTGTAATTCATTACAAGCATGATTTAAAAACGTTTTGAACTTGTAAAACTCATTCTTGATCACATTTCATGATGATTGATGATCAAAGAAAGCTGAACATCATTTAATCCCAGTTGCTACTGTATGCACACATCCTGTCTTGTTGATATGGTTATACGCGTTACTACGGAGACCTGTAAATACGTGGCTGTCAATCAATTCTTTGGGCAGGGAAACCACACTGAGTGTTATTGTCTTTATATCACTTCAATATGACTGTGGACACACTATACCTACACACAGTTCTGTCCAAACAGCTTACAAAAGATGATTTTCATCAAAAAGAGATTCACCAATTTCCAGCTGATAAACATGGCAGATTAAACAGCCAAGAGTAAAATCTGCAGATACTGTTCAGCGGTTCTACCTTTTCTATTTACTTTGACATAAAAAAAATGTAAAATATTGAAAAAATTTATAAAAACATTTTCTCCAAATCAAATCTCCTTAGAAACACAAAAATGCTATTATAAATTACCTTGATTAATATTCAAGATTTAACTCCAAAAATAACTTAAACTTTTTTGAATTATAACTGATTCATAATAACCTTGACTGAATTGCTCAAATGCTTTCCCATATCAGCTTTAGGATGTGTAATCAGATTAGTAGTGTTAAACGTTTTAGCAGAAGTTTTACTTGTAAAATCGAAGCATTGCAGAGCTTACAAACTGCGGTTTTGTCGTCACTGCCACTAAATTCAAAGCAACACCATACAAGAGATGTTTTATTTACATGGCACAAATTTATTGCTTTTTTCACATCCTTTTTTGACTAAAAGAATGCAAAAATTACCTTGATCATTAGCTGTTTTTAAACAAATCGCTTAATGGCAGATTTGTTGTTTTGTTTACCCAAAAACAAAAATTCTGTTATCAATTACTCTCCCTCATATTGTTCAGAACCCGAGACCATTGTTCATCTTCAAACACATTTTAGGATATTTTGGGTTAAGTCAGAGAACTCCCTTATCCTCCATAAACAGCAACTCATTCAGAAAAATACCAAGTAACATCCTCAAAACAGACCATATACATTCAACGGTTCAAAACGAGAATCCTTTTGTAAGCAAATAAAACAAAAATAAAGACTTTCTTTCTACAGTTTCATCTCCGCAGTGTCAGTATAAGGCGCATGTTTATGAGCACTGTGTACTGATGTATACCCTGGATGGCTACACACAAGTTCTTGTTTGAAATAAAGCAGCAGCACATTCGAGATATACATTAGCATCGCAATCAGGTGCAACACAAGAACAAGCGCCCTATACTAACACTGAAAAGAAGAAAGCATTGAATAAAGTAATTATTTTTGTTTTGTGTGTGTCAACAGCTTGATATAAGACTTATTGACCACAATATCAGGTAACATTCAGGAGGTTCCTTCTCATTTTGGCCCCAAAATAAATTGAGGCAGGTTTGGAAAAACTTCAGCAGGGGCACCAATGTCTTTTGATGTTTATTCTGCCCTCTTTATTAAGCACAGTTCAGACTACATGATTTCAAATTTTTTGTTACAACCATAAAAATGTATACGATTTTATATCCCAAACATTGACACTGAGAAGAAGAAACAATTCAATAAAGTAGCTATATTTGTTTTGCATGTGATAATAGCTTGATCATATTTCAACACGCTTTTTGTTGTTTCTTTGGCCTTTGTATGAAACATTGCTACCTATGGAGTATGAGGAAGCTTTCTGATTTCACCAAAAATATCTGAATTTGTGTTATGAGGAAAGTAATGAAGGTCTCATGCTGTGTTCACACCAGACGCGGAAGCGTCAAGCGCGAGTGATTTACAAGTTAAGTCAATACAAAAGGCGCTAATAGACATTCTGTGGCATGATGCTTGCAGTGCGGATTGAGTGTTTTGCGCATTTGATGCTTAACTTGCGAATTGATAATCTGAACTTTAGCGGATATTCGCGGCACATTAACCAATCAGGAGCTCGCTCTTGTGGGGGCGTGATTATGATGTAGTGCCTGTTGTTGGTGTCCAGGGGGAAAATCCTCCTGCCTACACCGACAAGTTCATCAAACTGGGCTCGGCTCAGTCAGAAGCACCGCTGAATGCCTCCTTCATCCAGGTTAAGTGTCTGGAGGAGTTTATGAGCTCATAGAGCTGGGTGCACCTCTGAAAGGATCTAGTGCACTTAGACACTGCTCCAAACTTATCGACGCTGTTTTACAGCCTTCATAAAGCACATAAACATAGTTATTTTCTCAATAAAATCCATGTTAGCCATTTAGCAACGAAGCTAAAGTGACCGGGAAGACAGAAGTCCTGCCTATCACGCGAATCCACATCCGTTCTGAAGTGAATTTGACATGGAATGAAGCGGATTTGATGTGCGAATGAAGTGAGTAAACTCAAATGTTCATGCAACTATTTTCATGCAAATAGAGCGATTTTTCTAGGCATTCTGCATCTGGTGTGAACACAACATCAGGTGATTGAACAAAATGACAGTGAACAATCACAAGTAGAAATCATTTGTTTTCCAATAAATATGCCAATTCCAATTTGCAGACACCCAAAACCAAGTCTCTCAACAAATGTTAAAATACTGAGATGAGTGACAGCTGACCCTGCCATCAACACCCTTAACCAAAATGTTTAAGTAAAAACATGACTGTAAGGGTATTTTTCATTTTAAACTAAAGATATGAAGCTGCAAGCGAAGTCAAAAAGATATTAAATCATATTTTGACAGGTGCTGATTTAAAATGCCACGTTACTATAGTCTTATATTGCTGCAATATTCAAGCAATCTTATCTCGCGTCTCCAAATCAAGTCGCATTTTGCTGAAAGGAGACAGAGTTATTAACTTTATTCATATAGAGAATATTAAAAGACAATAATACTGCGGAAACACAGTCCTGTTGTTATGCTTTCCCTTTTACAAATTCAGTTAAATCCCTCAGAATGTATTTTGCAGGAATATCTTTGAGTTTTCATGCGCAACTGGCAACATTTTAATATATTCTTCATTCTAAAGCCTGCTGCAATGCTGTCATCACATTATTTGATCCTGATAACCACCAAGTATGAATGCAAATGTCAAAACGTCAACCTTTGCTCTCATAATGTATAAAACCCCTTTGTTTCTTTCAATCTGAGTGTTAAAAGTGCCCTCACCTTAAAGTTGGGTGAAAAATATCGGTTAGCCTTATCTTTGTTGGCTTTATCCAAGTCGTTCTTCGTTAAGGTCAAAATCAAGTAGTCTTTTTCCCCATCCGCTCGCTGCTCTCCTCTTTCTCTGTCGAGTGCAGCCGCTGCGACGGCTCTCTCCTTCTCCCTGTCCCGTTCCGCCGGTGAACTCTGGCTCTGACAAGACAGGCTGTCCACGTCGTTCACCACCGACCCGTTCTCCACTTTGTCCCCTGCTTCCTCAGGCCCCGGGATGAAGAACGTGTTTATCCAAAAATGAAACATTTTATCCTACGCACAAGCAAAGGTTTACATTTTAGATGGCCATAAATAGCAAGCGTTTACAAACACAAATACACATTCCAACAACTGCACATATAAACACATTTATATAAAGCACAGAAACACAAACACTGACTTGACTATATATACATTCATTTAAACTATATTTATGGTAATTAATGCAAAGTTCACAGAACAAAATTTTTACCCAGATTTTCACTCTGAGCCAAGAAATGCCCCAAAATGGGTGCAAATTGGTTCTTATTAATAATTATTAAAGATGCGATGCAAGAAAAAAAAATTATTTATTAATATCCCTGACGCCTGTAAAATATTTTGTGAGCTAAATATCTATACCTGTTGGCCATTCAAAATGCTGTGTAAAAAATGTTCTGACATTGAAAAGACAGTGGTGGTAAGAATCTGCGGACATTTTTTGCTTCCTTACTGCGGAATGATTTTGGGAGTATCATAACTAAACACTTATATAAAAAATAAAGAATAATACAGTTTTAACTTTTATTTAATGTTTACAATGCAAATCAAATTAGATCCACATATTTAATAAACAAAGCAAGTATCTTATATAATATATCGACTAAAAAACAGAAACTATTACTTTACAAATTGTATTGTAAATAAATCATATGAACATTTTCATATTAGTCAATAAAATTACTGAAATTAACTTAAAAAACTGAATAAATATAAATTTACACAAGTAAATAACTATATGATGGGCTAAAAATCTGTGGAAATCTGCAGATTTCGGCAAAGTGATAAGCTACGTCCAATGTCAAAGCAAGATAAAAGACATCATGGAGAAGTTATTGACCACAATATTAGAAAACATTTAGGAGGTTCTTTCTCTTTTTGGACCCCAAAAAATGGAGGCAGGTATGGAAAAAAATAGCAGGAGCACCAATGTCTTTTTGATGTTTATTCTAAAATGTGAAACTTAAGCCCTGTTCAGACCACATAATTTTATTTTGAATTACAACCAAAAATTATTTGATTTGGTGTAAATAAAATCTTGTTGTGTCATGGATAGCAAATATACCAAATTATACATTGCTTCATGTACGGCGTTTCTCTGTAACACTGTCAAGTGTTTCGATGCGGGAAAAATCAAAGATGCTAGATTTTCTGGTATGATGTTGTGAAGCACCGCAGACATGGTATTGTTTGGCTTGCACTATGACACAATACACAAAAAGACACAATTGAAATTTGCATCCTGACAAAAATATTTTTTCTTTAAGCATCTTCACTTACATCAAGTAAATAGAGCAGAAATTGGGGGAAAAATTATGTAATCTGAACGGGGCTTTAGATTGTGAGCCAAACAGAGTTTTTGTTGATTCTTCCCACATAAAATTCATGCTGTATGTAAGCTCCTGTTGGCAATGCATTGCATAATGTCTACACAGGAGCTACTGAACATGACGCCAGATTAGGTATGGGACAATAACCATTTTCAAGGTATACCGGGGTTTGGAAAAGTCAAGGTTTTAGAAGGGCCAACATTTTCTGCTACATCGTTCTTAGGAAATGTGTAAGTTTTTTTTTTTAAATGTTTTTTTTTGTTTAGATTTTTAGGACAACAGTATCTCCTGCAGAAAAGCTATTTTAAGATGGCGTTTTAAATAGCAAACAAATCTGTGTTTTTGAAATAAATGAACACAGCAGAAGTCATTGATTAATTTGAACTTTTTAGCCTAAACTGTTTTAAATGTTTCCTAAAATAAAACTTATTGTGTTCAAAGAGGGAAAACATTAGTTCTTTTACTCAGACATTGAAAAATAACATATTTTAGAGCAGTAATCACAATATACCATCATATTTTATCCAAGTTTATCATACCGTCAGAATCTTATCCCAGCCCTTGTCTACGTCAGATGGTCATGGAGTGTGAAAACAAAGGAGATCCAATCATTTTGAAAATCACACAGTGTGAATATGACTTACAATAATGTAAAAGACTTTTCTGATGATTAGCTATGTTGAAAACAGTAATCCAGATTTTTTTAGTATTCAGGTTTCTCTAATGATATAGAAAGTTTAAAGAAAAACGTCTTAAATATAGAGGAATCAATATTAAAATGTATTTATTTTATTTATAACTTTTAAACAGGAAAATATTAAAAGATAATTGGGCCTGACTCAGCATAAATGCTGATTTTCAGCAGGTTCCTGCTCTGCAGAACATAAAAACAGAGAGACATCTCATCCATCAACTTAGTACAAACAATCACCAAACATATAAAATAGAGAAAAGCAGGCTACTATCTCAGAGGCTACAGCAATAGTTGACCATCAGATGACGAGGATGTGATTTTTTAAAAAGTCTCAGTGTTGGTATTGTTTTCAGATGTTGTGGGATCTCATTCCAGTTCTTTTGTGAACACATAAAAGAAAGATCTCGGTCCATAAAAGTATTTAAAAGGTGGTAATGGCAAACATCCATTTTTTTTTTTACAGATCTGGTGGAACGATCAGTCCTTGTGTTGAGTTTTGGTACCAAAGCACAAAGGGCTGCTGAGGTAGCGCTATTTACAATTTTATAGTACAGAATAATCCCTGTGTTCATAACATAGTTTTGAAATGTTAAAGCATTAGAGAGTGATAGAGCAAAACAGTGATGTGTTCATCCAGAAAGTCTGTTGTGGATCTTATAGGCTCTATTGTACAGTCTAGCTATTGGCTCCAAGATATCATTTGTTGTGAGAGACCAAACAGGCAGACAGTAAGACAAGGTAGACAAAATTATGGCATGAAGATAAGTTTCTGAAAAAGACAAATTTGTCCAAATTTTCCCATAAACAAATAGCTTTTGTTTCAGCTTTTTAGAAACATTTTGAACGTGGTTAGAATAAGTGAGGTGAGAGTCCAGACTGATTCCCAAATATTGATATGTGGATACAAAGGAAAGTTTTTGATTTGAGAAAGTGATGGGATAGGGAATGGATAATTTTCTCCTAGGTGAATAAAAGTACATACACTCTGTTTTTGTTAATAATCAACTGATTGTCTTGCAGCCACTCATGTAAATGCTGAAGATCTGTATTTTATTTATTGTTAATTGTGTCTGTACTTGATTCAAACACAAAAAGAACAGTGTCATCTGCGTACAATAGAGAATCTGAATGTTTAATTTTAGCAAATACTGGTGGTTCACCATTTTACACTAATTTTTATGTTAATAATTTGTTTAAAATGTATTCATTTCAATCGGTACATTATAACAGGTCTCAATTAGAATCAAATGCATTGCTCAAAGTAACATTCTTAACTTAAAAATCCTAAATTGAATTAAGAATTTAACTTTTTATTAATATTACTAATTCATGATAACATTCACTGAACTTGTTGAAAACTTTGTCAAGTTGGCCTTTCAGATGTGTAATCAGATTAGTTGTGTTCAATGTTTAAGCAGAAGCTCCACTTGTGAAATTTTAACAGTGCAGATCTGTTACAATGGAATGGAAAAATGGAATGGAATAAAAGGAATAAAATAAAAACATTCAGATAGAAGACCTATTAAGAACACAAGCAGCAAAAGACTATGTTAAACAATAGGAAACCCACAAACCGCCAAATAACAACACATCGTCCCTGCAGTCATGGAAACAAGGTCAAGATCCTGCGATAAGCTGTACCAGTGGTTTATGCAGGAGGTCAAGGCGAGTTAAACATACCTTCTTCATCATCTTGCTCTGCTTGTGGAAAAACTCCACCTTGATGTCGCCACAAACCGGAAGCGGCTGAGGAAACTCGAAGATCATGTGCTTCTCTTCCCTTCGCGTGTGGGCTGGATTTGACGTGTGGATCTTTACCTTCAACTGATACACTACGAACTGAGGGTCTGTTTGACAAAACAGAGATGGAAGAGTGAGGAGGAGAAAAGGACATCAGACTGTGGAGGCAAAAACAGTAAATGCAAGCAAAAGCATTGCAGAAGTACAAAAAAAGAAAGGTGTTAATTCTCAAGAAGCCCACAATGAGTGAAATAAGAACACCTGCAGCTCTGACATCATCAGTCAAGACATGTCAGTGATAAGGAGCAGGGTTTGATGCAAAAGGAGAGAAGATGCATTGAAGAACAAGCACCCAAAACTTCCCCACAAAAGCAGCCTACGCCTGCATGCACCCAGCACAGTCAGCTTCAACACCGAGAGGCTTTTCTCTTCCTCACGTACAGTACGTGTGCAGTATTACAGTGGATTTCAGCTCATAGACAGTGTACTATTTTAACACTGCAATTCAAATGCTTGTTGTAAGTCACATTTTTTTTAAAGAAATGAACAGATATTCAAGCTAGGAAGCATTCAATTAATTAAAAGTTTTTTTTGTTGTTGTTGTTGAACAAAGTGTTTATTAAAAACAAATGAATAATGGTCTCCCCAAAATAATTATCAGCATACTAGAAAGAAGGCCTGCGCGACATTGCGATATTTTATTTTTCTGCTTTAAATACTGCGATATGTATGCAGTTTCACAAGATAGTTTGAATAGCTCTATTTGATGATTTTCTGAGAAGTCTAGCAGTATTCAGGTACAGAATGTATTGTCTCGTTTCTAGTCTAAATATTAAAAAAAAAAATTAAGAGCAAATAAAAATATGGTTTTGTTTTCACCTTCAGAAGAAATAAGTGAAAATTAAAGAGTTTTTGTGCTTGTTTTAAGGAATTATCTGCCAGTGGGGTATGTAAAATAATCTTGTTTTCAATTTGAAATGTAGATATTTGGAATAGAAACTAGACAAAAACTGGAAAGAAAAGAGAGATGTATTTGTGCATAAATCCTATAATTTCCAAACAAATACAGTGATTAAATACAATTCTGTAGCTGCTGCACACATTGTGATGTCGATGCTGAAACAATATATTGTACAGCCCTATTACAAGGACTATTTCTAGTGACAATTTTTTGTACAGTACAGGCCAAAGGTTTGGGCACACCTCATTCAAAGGAGTTATTTTTATTGCTATGAAAATTGTAGATTCACACTGAAGGCATCAAAACTATGAATTAACACATGTGGAATTATATACATAACAAAAAACTGTGAGGAAAAATGAAAATATAACATTTTCTAGGTCCTTGAAACGTAGCCACCTTTTGCTTTGATTACCGCTTTGCACACTCTTGGCATTCTTTTGATGAGCTTCAAGAGGTAGTCATCTGAAACGGTCTTCACTTCACAGGTGTGCCCGGTGAAATGAAGGTCAGTCAGTCAATCCAAAAAAATTGGGAAAACTTTGAAAGTCTCTATAAGAGCAGTCACAAAAATCATCAAGCGCTACAAAGAAACTGGCTCACATGCAGACCACCCCAGGAAAGGAAGACCAAGAATCACCTCTGCTGCGGAGGATAAGCTCATCTCAGTCACCAGCTTCAGAAATCGAAGGTTAACAGCAGCTCAGATTAGAGACAGCGACATGCTCTCGCAGTGACATGCTATTCCATCCGGTTTGCGTTTAGTTAGACCATCATTTATTTTTCAACAGGACAATGACCCCAAACACACCTCCAGGCTGTGTAAGGGTTATTTGGGGCTAATTGATGGGGTGCTGCACCAGATGACCTAGCCTCCAGTCACCTAGCCTCCAGTGAGCTGGACCACAGACTGAAGGAAAAAAGGCCAACAAGTGCCAAGCATCTCTGGGAACTCCTTCAAGGCTTTTAAAAGACCATTTCAGGTGACTAACTCTTGAAGCTCATCAAGAGAATACAAAGAGTGTGCAAAGCAATAAGCAAAAGGTGACTACTTTGAAGAACCTAGAATAAGACATTTTCAGTTGTTTCACACTTTGTTATGTATATAACTCTACATGTTAATTCATAGTTTTGGTGCCTTCAGTGTAAATCTACAATTTTCATAGTCATGAAAATAAAAAAAACTCTTTGAATGAGGTGTGCCCAAACTTTTGGTCTGTACTGTATATGACCTCCTTTAATGGGTGTCTTCTGTAAATTGTGGTATATTATGATGGGTAGTTATAGGTAGTGGTATGTGTAGCATATTTTTAGACTTTTTTTTTTTTTTCCAAAAATGCTTATTACAACACAAATGTCTGATAAAATGAAAATTATTTGCAAACAAACCAATGTTTAGCAAAATTCTGTAACATTTATTTTCCATGAAAAAAAGGAAGACATGGAAAAATTTGTTTGAAAGAGCATGAGGTCCAGTAAATGATGATGACTTTAGGGTGAACTACCCCTTTTTAATAATGTATAGATTAAACATGTGTTCCTAACCAATATATAACTTCTTAGAAGTATAATAAAAGTGAAGTATTTCAATCATCAGTACTGTAATATAAAATTGCTCCTACTTTAATATGAAATTTAGGTCATATTTCCCAGCATACTATTTGTTTCTTTTCTTTCACATTTATTCAGTGTGACTTGTTCATTATGGTTACATTGTTTTGTTCTTTTGAAAAACCGAACATCTGTGAAAAACATTTCAAACATTGTAGTTAATGTTATGAGACTTCTTTCTGAGAGAAACTAGAGCAACAGTAAACGCTGTACTGAACTGTACTGAATGCAGTACAGGGCCGGGCCTGTCTGAACATTAAGACGTTTGCTTTAACAGTAGTAGTAAAGTAATGCCGTTTTACCCCAGTGCCAGCTGCCTTTCTTGAAGCCCTGGGGATTCACCTCACTCCTGTTTTTAACAGTACTGTCCCCTTAGAGAAAGAGAAGGAAGTTAAACACCACCACCACAATCAGCCTGGCCAGGAGCTTGGCTGCTCCACACTGGCCTTGGCAAGACACACACACACACACACACACACAGGTCTGAAAGTCTGAAACATGGGAGTACTGAGACTGACTCTGCACTTTTAGTTCCAATTTCGAAAAATGAAGAACTTCCCAAAAATGGCATGTAGGGTGCAGTTTGGGTTGGCGTGGCAAACGTGAACAAAACACTGACTAGCACGCTATGTACGAATGGAGGGAGGGAATGAGGGTGGGCACGAACTGTGATGTCATTAAACGCCAGACTGTGGTGGGCTGCAGGAGCCGATATATAGAAACCGAAGGGAAACTTCCTCAGGGGAAACTTTTTAAAAAAAGAAGAAAAAAGGAACAGAGAAAGACAGTGTACCCATGAGTGTTAGAATGTTAGGGACAGAGGCGAAGGTTGTGGTACAGGGTTAAAATGACAAAACACAACGGCAGCTCACTTGTGAGTGCGACCACAACCCCACATGACAGCATAAGCATGTCAGTTACATCAAATAACATGTTCTCTGCTTGTTCTGCAGGCTTTAATGTGTATGCCACAAACACGCATGCTTTTAAAACCACAACAACATTCAGAAAAGCTAAACTGCAGCACGCTGTTGTGTTTTTGGAGAGGTTTAAAGGAGAATAAGACTTACTGCAGGTGCCCCCACTGAACATGGGCAAAGTCTGGAACACCATTTTATGGAAGAGGAGGGCAACGGGTTTATAGTCCAGCTTGTTCTTCAGCAGGTAGCTGTAGTAATACACATACCTGCGCTGGCTGGGAATTGTCACCCCCTGAAATAAAGAAGAATGGCTATTAAGACTAGTATGATTTGGCAGACTTGGTAGCATTGCAAAAAGGCACAGACTTCATAATAAATGTGCCTTGATTTTGGCACTAAGACGCATTTCTTTGTGGCTTAGTACAAGTACTTTTAGACAAGTAAAAGTTATACCATAACCCCCCAGCCTCAAGCTCATAAAGGGCATCTATGGTGAAAAATCTACTTTTCAAGCTGTTTAGATAGACGTGTGTAGTCATAGACCATCATATTGGGGTGATATAAACACACCCAGTTAGTGTTGTGCGATTTACAAAATTTTCAGATCGCCATATCTCCCCCCTGTGAGACCGTCGATACACTATACTATTGCATTGGGGCGCGGCAGTGTTATATATATATATATATATATATATATATATATATATATATATATATATATATATATATATAATATATATAATATATACATAATATATATAATATATCATACATATAAATATATTTAAATAAATTATTATTATTATTATATTTAACCATATCTTAACATATTTATTAACCTTTCGGCTGATTTTTAAACTTATTTAATAACCTATTGCATTTGCGTAACATTTGATTTTGGATAATAATTCAAACCAATGCAAATTACTGCACTTTTACAGCTAAATAGGCTTCGAGACCGAAATTATATCAAACAAGACTCAACACTGCAACACGACACAGGATTTGATGGTGACTTCGGGTTCATGCCGTTATCCTCGGCCCGCGGGACTGCCGCAAAATGGATATAATATACATAAATGAAAGCAAATAAAATGACATTTATCTACGTACGGAAGAAACAAGAACGCATTAAGGTCCAAACAGGAGGCGGATGGAGGAGTCACCGTCAGCACATGACTGTTTCTATGCGGTGGCGCGGCTTCAGGTGTAATCATTACAAAAGTAATTTGCTAAGATCTAACACAGTGTTGTGCTTGGCATAGGCTATGTGTTTATTGTTTTCTGATTGAGTTTTATTTTAGACACGGCTGCGGCGAGCAGGCAATAGCCCATTGCTCTAATATTAAATTGCTTTTTTGACCTAAAACTTTTCACTGAGCTCAGTAAAATGTTCTTTGATAAGTTATTAATAATCTGTTCAATACTTCTTTAATGCCAAAACGAATGGTTAAATACAGATTGTTTTTAATTGCATAGAGGCTAGTTTAAATAAGTAAATAAAATATATTTTAGGCTATAAAAATAAATATAGACCTAACATATTTTTTAATTAATTAAATGGGTTATTTTCTGAAAAAGGTGCATGTAATAACCTATGTAAAAAATAAATAACTTGTTTTGTGAAAGCTAGAGAGAATCATGCGCCAGTGCTGTTAAAGGAGTCTTAAATGATCAACGACCCGCAACACGTTTAATTCCTGAACATTTGAGCTGGTTTCAGAATTCTTTCATTTTCTTTTTCAGTAGTTTAATTTTTACAAATGGTTTTATTTAACTTGTTTGTTAATTAAATACAGTTTTGCTATTTAGCCTATTATTTTTATGCAACAAAGTTGCAAACTAATTTGCTCAAAGATGTGGCTGTGTCCTCACATGCAGCTCGCACTTCAACACCTGCTGCTGCTGAGACGGAGACAGAGAGAGAGAGAGAGAGAGAGAGAGAGAGAGAGAGAGAGAGAGACAAAGAGAGAGACAAAGAGAGAGACAGAGAGAGAGAGAGAGAGAGAGAGAGAGAGAGAGAGAGAAAGAGAGAGAGAGAGAGAGAGAGAGAGAAAGAGAGAGAGAGAGAGAGAGAGAGAGAGAGAGAGAAAGAGAGAGAGAGAGAGAGAGAGAGAGAGAGAGAGTAATACATCGAAGTAATACATTTTGTCCAAAAGTGTCGGTCAGGGGATATTAATGTGAACAGCTGAAGCTGTCATGTTATTTATAATTAATTAATTATTAATGATGATGTTTAAATGATGTTGATGATGTTACTATTCATTTTATGCAAAAATGCAATTAAAACATGTAATAGATCTACATTAATGCAAAACGAGCTAAATATCGTCTTTAAAATCGTCACAGGTTTCAGCTCTCGGCGATATCTTTGCCTATCGTCGATACACAATACTATCGTCGACACGATACTATCGTCTATCAGCACAACCATACACCCAGTCCTTTTTTTCAATTTAACAACAAAGAAACAACATAGAAACTAATTTTCATGTGAAGCAACACACCCCAAAATGACACTTTTTAACACATTATAATAAAAAAATCTGAACTGTGTTTTGAACTGAACCTAAACTGGCACACTCAGAAGAACCATAATATTAACATTAAATCATAAAAAAGGGGTAAACTATGTGCCCTTTAAAGGACAGTTTGCACTATAAATCTTCCAAATTAATATTTTTTGGGAAAAAAGTAATCTGATGAACATTTCTCTATTTTTATAACCGAATACTGTAGAAAATTTTTTTATAATGTCACTTTTTGTCCAAAACCACACAGCAATACTAGTTCAAACATGTGTAATCCATTAAAACATGGAAGTGCAATTGAGCTGTGATAACTCATCATCAATGCAGCAACAGTTCCAGTTTGAAAATAGAATGACGAACTAAAATTGTACCTTTTTATCCCTGGTTCTGACTTCCCCATAAAAGTCCAGTGCCTCTTGAGCCTCTGCGAACTTCTTGCGATGCAGCAGATAGGCACATATCATGACACCTGTGCGACCTTTGCCTGCCTTGCAGTGGATGGCAGCCACATGGTTCTCATCCTCGGACAGCCACTGGTCGAGATCCTCGCAGAAGGGCTTTATTAATTCCAATTGTGGAGGGTTGTGGTCCTCGAAGGGATACTGTGCCACTGAATACACAAACAGATTTAAAATTCAGTACCTTTGCAGTTTTTCCAAAGAGGACAAAATAATGAAGACTGAATGATGATTTTCAGGAAGGAAATGCTAATCTGTGTGAAACAAGTGGCAAATGTTCATGTGAATAAGGGCTGCACAATATATCGTTTCAGCATCAATATTGCAATGTGTGTACTTACAAGAGACACACTGCAAAGACATGCAATCTTGAGTCTGAATTATAGTCGACCAGGAGCTACAAAATTGTATCATTGCATTTATGTGGAATTTATATGATTTATGCACAAAAACATTTCTTTCTTCAAATTTTTGTCTTGTTTCTAGTCCAAATGTCTACATTTTAAAGCAAAAACAAGTATATTTGACTTACCCCATTAGGAAAATCTTCACTTATTTCTTGTAACAGGGAAACTAACCAAAATCTTCATTTGCTCTAAGAATTTTTTGATATTTGGACTTGAAACAAAACAAAAAGTAAGAAAAGCAGTTTTTGCAATGTGATTCAATTTCTGTACCTGAATACTGTTCCGACTCCCTAGAAAACCACCAAATATTGCTATTCAAACAATCTTGTAAAACTGCATTTATATCACAATATTTATCACAGAAAAATAAAATAGCGGAATATCAGATTTTTTATTATCATGCAGTCCTTTTGTGAATCATGCAAAATTAGCTCATTAGGCAAAGAAAGTAAAAGTTAGACATTATTTCACAAATTCCATATGAATGGCATTAAAGCTGTCACCAGTTGCGTGCAGCACTGTCTGCAAGACTAACATCCCCAGCGGCTAAAGCTGCAAAAATATCAATAACTGTCAATAAAGCAACACATTTAAACAGCTGCAGTAGACACTCAAATCCTTTACAGAAAAATACATTGCACAGTAGATTCTGCAGCTCAATCAGTAGAATAAAGCAAAGGAAAATCATTGCTTCAAACATTTGAAAATGTGCACTTTCAAAGAATGTACATTAGTTTAAAAAAGTATATCCCACATATATGCATAAACATACATGTGTAACTACTTTAAAGCATCTTTATTCTGGTAAACACAAAATAAAATAGTTTAAAGAAAGCTGCAAACCACCAATCAATGACTTAAGGGTATTTGTTTTCCTACTATGAAAGTCAAAGGGTACACATTTCCAGCTTTCTTAAAAAAAAGAAATAATCTTCTTCTGTGTTCAACAGAAGAAAGAAACTTAAAAGATTTGAAACCACTTGAGGGTAAGTAAGTTTTCATTTCTAAGTAAATAATCCTTTTAATGAACATTCTGAAGTACTGCATGAAAAATGAGGAATGGAAGTACCAAATTTAAAATGAAATAAAATCCTTACATTTCATGTCATGATAGGATGAAAAACCACTGACCCTGACTCTCCCAAAACAGCAGACTATTATTTCCCCCAAACACATTTTTTACTATGGACAACAGTTTAACTATTTTAGAATTTGGGCAAAATTAAAGAGACCATAAAAAGTAGTCTTTTTAACACTAGTTTCAGAATTAGACACTGTTAAAATGAAGTAGGGGTTGTACTCACCTCTACAGTTGAATTTAGATGCATCGTAGTGTCGTTCAGCACATCTAAAAAAGAAAATCAGGAGAGTTAAACTCCGAACAAACAATTTATGTTTGGTATGTCATTACTCAAATATAATTAAATACTTACAGATTATAAATTTTATAATGATTCTTATGCTTGGAATCTAAAAACCTGAAAGACAAAAAAATTAAGAAAGACAGAAGTTACAATTTTGAATTTCAACAAGCTATTAGATGAAACAACTGACTAACATTTGTTAGTGACTATTCATTCAAAAAAAAATGCATAATTTGTCAAATTTACGGTGAGACGAAATAAAAATAAATAAATAAATAAAAAAAAAAAGAATTGTGTGTTTTACCACGTTGACTTACCGGACAACGTCATCAATGTTGTTTCGGTAAACACCTTCCAATCGTTCGGCTGGAAAGCCCATGGCAATGATGTTAGGGTATATGTCTGACATGTGTGTTAAAGAAAAAGATCATATGTGCACTGTACACCAGGTTAACATTAAGCAAAATAAACAATAAAATTAAATCTACAAGATGTTACTACATACATTCAACAATCTAAACAAGAAACTAGCGCTGCGTCTTATTAAAACATTATCATCGTAACAATAGTAATAAATGAAATATGTCTCACAGAATGGTGCAATAAAAATATTTTATGTGCCAAATATTTATGTGCTAAAAGCATAGGTTGTTAACCCAAATTTGAGTAATCAACCGGGACCTTACTTTCTGTGCACCTGCCTCCCCAGTAGGTTTTACAATGCTACTGGCTAGAGCAGGCCCAAAAGTAAAGCTATAGTGCCTTAGAGCAGAGCTGAAAATAAATACTGATTGTGAGAGAAGAGACAAGCAAGAAAAATGACAACAGTGAATAAAAATTTTAAAATCAGCAGAGGCATTCAGTCATCCATTGTGTTTTAAAGTCGATGAAATAGATGTAATTTGATCAGAAAAATACTTAAACATTCATTAATAAAAAATAAGTAACATTTCTCTAAGGAAATGTTGTATTGCAAGAAATATCTTTATCACAAAAGCCTAACAATATGAACATGTATTACCTTTACCATGTAGGCAAATGAGGAAAACATACTAGATATGTGGACAGCGATTCTACTGTAATCAGACAGATTGCAGCTCAAATAGCTTACCGACTTGAAAATTACATAAAAACAAAGGCAAAAACTGTGATACAGACGCTCAGCTGTCTGTATAGTGTAAATGTCACACTCTCACCATCATCATTATGCATTGACCTTTTAGCAAAGTGCTAGACCGTGGGCACAGGAGTGTCTGCACTTCAAACCTACAAAACCAGGTCAGACTGCTTCACAATCCTGACCTGAACCAATGAGATCAAGGGTCACCAAGAAGTCACTGCATTCAAACACAACTCCAACACTCAATCACACAGCTTTCTGACATGGTGAGACAATGCTATCTCCCTCTACTGAACCTCATTTTTTCCCATGCATTATTTTCTCACTTTTCTAGCTCACTGTGCATCTGCAGGCATTTGCACTGTTCGCTCGGCTCCCATGATGTGTGCAGACTCTTGGGCTACTTCACACCTCGACCATAACACGCTGGGCTTTTCAGTTCTGCTCGTTTCCTGTCATGCACTGTCAGAAAAGAAAGCCAGAAGCTTTTTAATTGGATGAGTCAAGCTTATTTTGAGCCCAATTGCTTTAAAACAGTTAGCGACTCCTACATCATCACGACTGTTCGAAAACCTAAAAGCACTAAATTAGATTGTGTTCACAAATAAGTATCCCTGAACAAACCACAATAGATCAGAAAAATGACTAAAAATTGAATGTATTGTGCATGGAAGAAAGAATATGTAATGTTTTTAAAGTTATCACATCTCAAAATAAGACAAAGTGAGTAATTTTCGAAGACAAAGTATAGTCAAGTTATTTCACTCGGCAGCCATCTTTGAAATGCCTCTTGGGTAGTATGCTCAGGCATTCGTTCTAAATGGGAAAACATCAAATTCTCCAAAACTGTTTGCCAAGCTAACGATTAAATTACATATTTAAAATCACCAATAAAATTCAACAAAATCTGTCTAGTAAGTTTAGTTTCTAAACGTCAGAATAAAACAAAAACTGCATATTTTAAGATTGCCCAAGCTAATGCACATGCGCACTTGAATGGAACGAGATCACAACACTAACCTCACTTATGGCTGTTTTACACATTATCATTCTCTAAATAATGCTTCATCTGATCACACTACTCTTCTAAAGTAACTCACAACTTGTCTTGATTGCGAATCTCCTCCAGAAATGACAGCGACCCTTTGTTTACAAGCTTGTGGGTGTTTGATTAGTGGCTGTTGTGTGATGTGCGTTTGACAGGACGCACTGTACCTTGCGTTTATTTCATACAGATTACAAAACATAAAAACTGTTGTTATCATCTGCACTTGGCTCTTTGAAAGCACAGATTTCAAGCTTTAATTGGATATATTTCTTCTGTCTGTGAAGCAAGTATTCGCTGAGATTCCAGTGTGTTTGTTGACCACCAAACTGTCATAAAAGGACACATCTGGTCCGAGTTCTCTCCCCGGAGAACTGTCAGTCTCTTGATCTTATTCTTCAATGTGAAAGCGCGCTCGTTTTTTCGATTGTTTTTTAACTTATGATTCAGTCGCCTATAAGAGAAATGACTAGGAATACTGAACGGCAGAATTTAGTCAAACTACTAACTCTACAAAAAAATTGTTTGCATGACTGTACAGACAAAGTAAAATATAAGAAAATATAAGTCTGCAAAATTAAGCAGCATAACGAGCTGTTTTTAACTTCTAAAAATTAATGGAAGTGAATGAGACAGGAAGTCTCGAGCCAAAAAATTTTAAATGGCTGCGCCCGCTCATACGTTAAGAATAAGGTGAATAGAGATCAATGATTGGCTCCTGTACTAGAAGGCGGGGTTTTATTCACCATATTGACCTTTCAAAACTATACGAGTGACATGTCTTAAATATTCTATTGTCTTTGGTTTAACTGAAGGGACATTTAAGCCCCTATGTAAACTAAATCAATAGTTAACTTTTTTCTGTCCAGGTTTCGAAATTAATGGGGTCTTATGGCAAAATACCAAACCCCCAAAAATCAAGAGAAATGGCCAAAAACTTGTGCACAAATCAGAACTATCCTAAAAATATTAAGGAATTAGCTCTTAAAGTGAAAAGTGAAAATGAATGAATGCCTTAAATCTGAGGCTTTACAAATGGTTCTACACATACTACATTATCGAATTGCAACCACATTTAAATGTAGCCATTTCTGTTGAGCACAAGAATGTAATCACCAATGAGAGAGGGTTAGATAAGTCAGTGTTAAAAACAACAAACTTAGCACAACTTTTGCAGGTTCCTCCTCATAGAGCAACATTATGAAAGCTTACATGCAAGAATCAATCTAGGGATAGACTGATAAGCCAATAATAATTTTAAAGTTATGATCGGTAAATCATCAACTACCGATATGAAAATGATATGCTATTGTCTATATAAATATACTGCTCAAAAAAAGAAAGGGTAAACTTGGAGTTATTGCATATAGTAATATATATATAGCACCAACTTATTGCACACCTCATCCTAGACAAAAGCAGATAAAATGTGCAAGATCATAGTAAAAATCCCCAGAGGCTTGTGTTTCTGCAATGCCACACAATGCAGCCTTGTTCCATCTTTCATAAAAAATGCACACGTCAATGTGAATAAAACATACATCCACATCAAGGCATGTTCATCATGTGCAAGTAATGTGTAGAATAAAGTCAGCATGACAAGACATCTTCATTGCATCTCTCTCCTTCTTCAGATGCCAAGTAATACCTCGATGTCAGCCAAGAAACATACACAGTCACACAGAAAGAGGCAGTGGTTTTAACATGCAAACCATTTCCACCCAAAACTCTTAAACACCGTCCACCCCTTTAAATGTACCGATATGCGAGAATACTGACATGGTGCTTAAACCACACACTCGGTGTGCAAACAAATCTCAGAACTACAGCAAATGCAAAAGAAAGTGAGGTTGGGGCTTATCAAAACACTAATGTCTAAACCAGAAACAGATAATGTAGTAATTTGAGAGACCGAGGCATTAAACTCTGCAGCTGACAGCTTGTGTGACATTTGACCTTTCCCAGCATGCTCTGTACTCCAGTGGTGTAGCTTTGCAGAATCAGAGGTGAGATTTACTGCAGTGGGGGAACAGGCAATGCTGGATAATCATGTCCTCCTTTGTTTAGAAAAAACCTCCAGAAGTTCACCAGCATCACTCATGGATCTGTTAGACTCCTGCATTTGACAAAAGCATCCCGTTTATTGTCGAACACCTGGTCTGCCACACTCAAATCTATAATACTTGGAAGGCAGTAAAATTGAGCCACTCGCTAGTGCAAAAACTGCATGAGAACAATCACATCTGCTTAGAGTAGCTCACACCTTACCCACATATTCAGTGCTTGCACACATCAGCCAAACAAGAGGCGATTAACAGAAAAAGGAGAGGTCTTAAAGCAAATGAAAATATATAACTTCTTCAACAGTCATGATGAGTTTACGATCAAAAGGGAATTTCCACCAGAGTTCTGTTTTTTGAGGCATGTAAATGCTTGGAAAAATAAAATGTTCCTTTCATTTAGTTGTGTAATAATAATAGGTCAAGAGCCAGGGTGATTAACTGGCCATTATTTGAGAGAGAGCTTGGCTTTTTTAGATCCTAAACCATCTGACAACTTTGTCAACTGGTTTTAGTCACTTCTGTTTTCAAAATCCCAATTAATTTAGCACGAAAATAAATTTATGAGCACATCACAGAGAGTTATCAGCCACTAACCAGAGAGATTTCTAGATAAAGGGTTTTCAGTGGCTGATATCGGTCAACCGCTAATACAGGTACAATAAATAAAATGTTAATCGTTCAGACATCAGAATCATGACCACAATTTATCATCACCCACAGCATTAAGACGTGATGACGAGGCAGGTTCCAAGTGAATGAGTAATTACCTTTTTGATACGATAAAGATGTCAGACACTTTCTTGGCCATCAAGTAACAGGGCGATCTTGTGTTGGCAAATCAGTGAATTCAGAGATTTCTAAGAATAGCAATGTTTAAACACAATGACTGCACTGCATTATCCATTAGCTTCAGTGAATAGACCTCTCATGTCTTTACATGATCAATAGCACTGTCATTAGAGAGTACAAGAAATCACAGAGGTGTCAATACACTCTGATTTGTTCAATCTCTTCAGCAAACTACTGTCATTGTTGTGCTAAGCACATACAGGAGCTGTCAAAAAGCAAAACACGCCGCGATTACACAAAATGACAGGGCCTCCTATACTGTATGTAATTCTGCCTGTCTGGAAGGAAGCTGTCTGCCATTACAGCCTTGATGCTGTCAAACCAGATATCTGAGCACGGCCATCCCACCAAGTGAGGTTAAACACAGTATTTCACTATTAACAGAGCAAGTGCGTCATGACTAAGCATTAAAAAAGGTTTTTAGCCAAGATAGAAAAAGTCTTAAAAATAAGGAAGTCGTATTGTTACAGCTTCACCTCACTAAAGCGTGACGTTTTAAAGACATAACACATATGTATAACTAACACAGACAGAAAATATCAAGCAAGGATACAAGTGAGGTCCAAATCAAATCCATCCTCCTGGTACCTCCGCTTATTCCGACTGACTATTTCTTTTAGTTTAGCAGTCATTGCCATGACAGCAGTTCAAAACACTTCAGTTTTATTCCGGTTTATTGTCAGAATGGGGGTAATGTTTGCTCGGGATGGCTCCGTGCCTCGCTCACCCTTGACTGTGTATGTGTGGCCCGGTGGGTCTTGCGCAGCGGGCCGGATTAGAGTTTCTCGCAGACGGGCCTCTATCCGCTCCGGCGCAGCAGGCCCGACTCTCCCGGTCCCGATCGCTCAGTCCTCCGAGCTGCTGAAAAGGTCCTCCGATCCCGCGGCCCGGTCAAACCGGAACGCATCCGATATAATAACAATAATAGTAAGGCAGAAGTCTGTGTGTCCGGCGCGCGCGCCGTGATCAGGTCCAAAGAGAGGAGCGAATCCTCTCCATCTTCGCGCGAAGAAGAAAACACACAGGCGAGCCTTTCCCGACTAGCATCGCCCGCTAGCCACCACTGCTAAACCCCCCCTCAAAACCCTCCTAACGAATGATCATCGTCGTCGTTGGATGGCCGAGTTGGTTCCACGAAAAATACAACTGACAGTCTCCACCTGAACTGCGTGTTAGATGTGCGACGGTAGCCGTTGGAGAAGCGTGAAGATGCGCGGTTTATCGGCGGGACTCATCTCTCCTCAGGGTGCTCCGCAGCTCCGCTCTCAAACTGCCATCATGGCTTCCCACAGAGGAAAAAAGAACGTAGATCCGGCACGTTTACCCAGAAAAAAAGAAGGTATCTTGCGCCACGAGCAGAAATAGTGCGCGGACGCGTGCCGTTTAATGATGAAAATGAACCATCCAAACAGTCTCTTTTGAAAATATTAGCAAAGAAAAAATTGCAACTTTTAAAGCAGGCAGCGTAGAAGGACAATGAGATGCGTTCCACAGCGCAGTGTTGACAAAGCAAAATTCGCGTTGAAGGATATGAGCGGAAGGATATGCGTTTGAGGATGTACGCAGTGCGTCTCGCTGTCAGAGCGGTCACGTGCGCGCATGGTTGTCGGTACATTGTTTCATTCCGTGCGGAGGGAGCGCTGCTTTCACCCCCCATACATCCAATAGAGTGAGTAACCTATATTCTCCAGGATGATTTCTACAGCTAAGCCTCGAGGGTCCTTCAGAGAACTCTAGGGGGTCCATGATGAAGATTTATAAATCATATTTTTGCATTCTCGTTGCATTTCTAACTATAGAATAACCTCATTTCTAACTTTATAACTAAATCAGTGATTGTCAGCCGTTTTGACTCAAGTGGCCATGGCAATATTCCAACGCAACCATTATTAGGTAAATCATTTTAAAAAATAGAAAAAATAAATAAAAATGTAGTCTCAGGTATGTAGGAAAAGTAGCCTAGGCCTATTCATTATAAAAAGACCATGATGGTTTAACATTTTAATAACATGACAACAAATCTCACCTAGAAGTCTCATCTTAATTATTTAATTTTATTAAAACTCAAATAATTGTATTTAAAATGCTAAGCACTCTAACACAACATTGTTTGTTCTTTGTAAAATGGCTGCTTTTTAAAATTTGGGTTGACTGTGAGGCTTCAAGGTGAAGTTTTCTGAATATATGATGGTGTGACCCTTGTTTCATTTTCCTTCCACTGAGGCCTTACAACCAAAACCACATGAAACATTGTCAACAGTGTTTAAACAAAGATAACACTATCTCTGTTTGTGTGTGTGTGTGTGTGTGTGTGTGTGTGTGTGTGTGTGTGTGTGTGTGTGTGTGTGTGTGTGGTGTGTGTTACTTCTAATGTTTTACTTCTTAATAGTTTAAATATAATGTACTATCCATAAATAGACTGTAAATAAATTTAACAGTTCTGTTATCAATTCAGACAGCAGAGTAATAGAGAAAAAATTCTGTTATTCAAATATATTTTTTATGTTTTATATGTTATATAATATAAAACTATATTATTAACACATTTTATTAATTAAATTAAAGCTGCAAAAGTATTATTAAACAAGTTTTAAAATAAAAATGAATTACAAAAAATACATTGAACCTACATAATAAAGTTTTTAAAAATCTAAAAGCTAACGCTACTTTAATTCTAAAAAAATTTTTTATTAAAGCAGTCCTTATTTAAGTAAGAGATAATACACATCTAACAGCAGTTTAAGCTGTTGTATGCGACAGAAAAACTTTAATCTATGCTACTGGATGTGTGTTATCCTGCTTTTTAAAAAGATGCTTGCCACAAAATTAAACTAGCCACAAACAACAGATCTAAGCTGTAATAATGTATGAACTTTTTAATTAAAAGTAAATCTGACAGAAACAAACATTGCTTAAACTAACCTACTTAATATTCAATCACAAGATGGCGCCAAACAGTCAAGAACAGCAGAGTGAATGATGAACATTAAAATTGCAAATATGCATACTCATCAATGGTCAAGGTGATTCAAAGTACCTGCATGAGCTTTTGTTATTATTAGTTTATTATTTAGTATATTAGAATCAAGTATTCCAGAGTGCAATGTAATAAAATAGCTTAAAATATTAATGAAAGAACACAGGCATGAGGATGTATTATAAATAGTTCACTCATTCATTCATTCATTTTTTTTTCGGCTTAGTCCATTTATTTATATGGGGTCGCCACAGCGGTATGAACTGCCAACTTATCCAGCATATGTTTTACACAGCAGATGCCCTTCTAGCTGCAACCCATCACTGGGAAACACTTATACACTCTGATTCACACACATAACCTACAGACAGTTTTTTTAGCTCACCCAATTCACCTGAACCGCATGACTTTGGACTGTGGGGAAAATCGGAGCACTCGGAGGAAACCCACGTGAACGCAAGGAGAACATGCAAACTACACACAGAAATGCCAACTGACTTAGCCGAGGCTCAAACCAGGCAGTGACCTTCTTGCTGTGAGGCGATTGTGCTACCTACTGTGCCACCACATCACCAATAAATAGTGTAGTTTGCTGTAGACCAAAGATATAGGGCTCGTGTGCTAAAGTTGGCGCTTGGTAACCTTTGGTTTGGCCTGTCATCAGAAAAGAGAGGGAGAATGATGGGGAGTTGGTTGGGGCAAATGCCTTTGACAGAAACCATCATTTCGAATTTAATGTAAACTTTAGTTTCTTTGTTTTATTGATGAGCTACAAAAAAAAAAAAACTGAAATTAAATGTTGTAAATAAGTAGACTTTTAAAATGTAAATACTGTCAGTTGAGAGATGCACAAGACATCAGCGAGCAAATGAAGGCAGAGGCAGGAGCAGCTGGACTGGTGTAATCAGCATTGAAGTTCATTGTGTTATAAAAGAGATTGTTTATGTTTTTACTGTAATATGTTCATTACAAAACTGCTAAAATGACACTGCATCATTAATTAATATGGTTTAAAGCAACGTTTTCTAGTTATTTTGAAACATTAGCAAATAAATTAAGAAATTACTCATAGCAAATTTAATATCATATGGTTTGGTACATTTAGCTTTGGCCCCCAGCCCTCAATCAAGTTTGGTTTTTGGCCCTTTATAAGAAACATTTGGGCACCCTTGATTTAAATGCTACTTGTATGTGAAATTGCCCCTATACCCACATTCACTATTCCCTACATTAATCCAATAAAGTAGTTCTGTAAAGTTCTGTTTCTTTGTGTGTTGCGCTAGATAAATCCCTCAGAAAGATAAGATTTTTAAGCTGCCATGAAATCAAAATTATTTTTTTAGGTATCAGTATGAGTATTATATCAGTATTATAGATATCATATGTTTTGATGATATCTATAAGCTGGTGCCTTAAAACAGGGACTAAATTTGCATTAAGAAGATATAAACATCAAAAGCTTGCAGTTTGTCTGCCTAAATGGATCAATTTTTTTTGACGTCAACCTTTAGTTTCTCAAAAAAATCTACTGACCAATCAAATGCTCTTTAGTAGATGACATGCTCCGCCCCTTCAAGACGCATCTCATTTGCTTTTTATTTTATCCACTTAATCTAAACCGCTCATATTGGCAGAGCTGTGATAAAAATAAAATTATTGGTTGTTTTTTTTAAAGGGAAGGAGATACTTTATGTCCTGTCCTGTCTTTAATTTTTTAGTTGAAATGACGTCATACTTCAGACAAAAAATGTTCATTACAAAGCACTTCATGGGACCTTTTATCTTCTTGAGAACTATAGTTATGATAGTTTACAGATATTTAACACTTTGCGGAGAGGTGTCTGATGCAGACCTGGTGTAGTGCAATCTGAGCTGCATCCAATGCTTTTTATTCATTTTATTATTGCCCAAATTTTCATGGTTTCATGCATGTAGCCTTGTTAATAGTGTGCTGTATGAACATGTTTTGCATTTATTTTCTCCAGGTTTTGAAAAAAAATTTTTTCAAGAAAATTGTATTTTTATATGCAGCAACTATAGTTGACGGTGGATAAATAGGTTGTAAGAACAACATATGTAAAATCTGAATAGGAGGAGAACATTTAGCTTTCTAACTCAAAGCAACTGCTTTCAAAAGATCAATTCATTTTCATAAACACATTTATTATGTTTAAAATTAGAAAACCATTTGATATGAAGCCCCGGAAATTACCATCATATAATTTAATGAATATGAAAGATTTTGAGAGATTGAGTTGAGTTCCTAAGGCCATCTCCACATATACACAGGGATTTTTGTAAACAAAAACTTTTTTTTTTTAAACACAGACCCTAGTGCTTTTGAAAATCTTCAGCCTGAAAAGAGTTTTAAAAATGTGGGTTTCAGTGACAGTCGGATACTGTGTTTTTTGTAGAAAAAAAAGCTGCAATTTAGACAATACCCATGTTTGTGTGGACAGCAGGGCCTAAGGTTGTGACTGAATTTGGTTGTAGTTTTGTGTTTTTCTTCAGTTATTCTGCATTTTAACAGCAGGGGTTCATTATTCTCTGTTCACTCAGCACTTTAACTCTGCTCTAGTTTTATTTGAACTCTTTGTAGAAGTGGGACCAGTGGGGATGTTCATTTTACGCTGAGGATTTTGCTATATCAAATTGTGTCAACAAAATCAGAAAAGTCTACTTTAAAGTAAAGATATTAATAGTTAAGTTATGTTTAGATGGGGTATTATAAAATCAAAAATCATTTAACAAGACCAATAACCTTGGTTTATTAACTTATTAACACATTATTCCCTAATTACCTATGATTTATGTACAGTATACAAGGTATTTCCCCACTGCTTGAACATTTGACAAAGTATACAAAAAACTATAGATTGCTTGAAAGATTTGTTTTATTCAGATGACTCTAGAAACCTTTAGGATTATGTTGATATATTTGTGAACAAAAAATAATTTTAGTATCATGAAATTTGCCTTTATTTGAGAGGGTTTGCATCTATTTTGCATCCTGAAATTAGGGGTTGGAAGTTGAAGGCCTCATGTTACAGAAAATAAATCAATTCCATTTTACCTTTCTTGAAATGTTTTATTTTGTTGTTTGCTTGCATGTCATTGACAAATGAAAAATAGATAACATGCAGAAAATTACTCACAAAAAGAAAATGGCAACTATAAACTGGGCTTAAATGCGCTCACCTAACCCTACCTGTTACAATGGCATCACTTGCTCCATTGAGTGCATGGTTTCTGACATTGCATCACTAAGATATGCAGTCTCAGCTTGCATCATCAAGGCTGCATCCAGATACTATTGGAGCTGTCTAATGGTATGAAACATGAATGAAAGTATTTAGATTTTTTTCAGATACATAAATGATACTTTAATTAAATAAAAATGTATTTTAAAACATGTACCTATAGGATTTTGCTCTATATGTCATCTTGTTATTAGAAAATTCATTCAGCAACCAAACTCTCGATGCATTGTGTATTATAGGATTGATTGAGTGCACTTTAAATACACTAGTTTTGGCCACCACTAAATGACTGCTTCTTTAAATGGTACACTATTTAAGGGTATAGGGTGTGATTTCGAATACACACCCTATGTCTTTTGAAGGACAAGCTTTCTGAAACACCCCACCCAAACTTCCTGTTTCATTAACTGATTTCTTGTGGTCTTCAAACCATTCAGCTCTCAATATAAGATGCAAAAGCCATTTCTTAATCCACTGTATATAAAACACTAACATATATAAAAGACCTCCATATTAATGCACAATAAAAACTCTGTAATAAAACACACATGGTGACACGGTGGCTCAGTGGTTAGCACTGTAATCTCACAGCAAAAAGGTCACTGGTTTAAGTCCCAGCTGGGCCAGTTGGCATTTCTGTGTGGAGTTTGCATGTTCTCCCCGTGTTCACGTGGGTTTTCATCCGGGTGCTCCGGTTTCCCTCACAGTCTAAAGACATGCACTATTGGTGTATACAATAAACTAAATTGGTCATAGTGTATGTGTGTGAACGATTGTGTGTGGATGTTTCCCAGTACTGGGTTACAGCTAGTAGGGCATCTGCTGTGTAAAACAAATGCTGGATAAGTTGGCGGTTCATTCCGCTGTGGCGACCTCTGATTAAAAAAGGAACTAAGCCAAAATAAAATAAATGAATGAAACATTAACATCCCAGTTCTTCAATGATATCGGAAAGTGTTTGGGACAAAGGTTGGGAAACACAGGCACAATATTTAGGTGAATAGGTGAGTGTGTCCTGTCCTTACCCTAAGTAGGTCTCCCTGCCTCCAGGGTCTTATTTTACAGATGCTTCATCCCTATAAGAAAATCCACACACCGTAACCTTTTCAGCACTGCAGCTAGCAGATTTAAATAGGGTTACCTAGAACATACTGGATCTAATGCTCTCATCATCCATACTAAGTCTAATTGGGAATCCCCTAAACCCATTTGGGAATGCCTAGGGCGCTCCTCTATAAATCCTTTCAGCATCTGAGGAGTTATTCACCAGGAGCAGGTTTTGGGACTTGTGTTCTAGGGTGCATTATTATAGGTAGATTTGAGCCATGACCTCATGTAGTCTGATTATGAACTACTCTTTCCAACATACCGGAAAGAACGTTTCATGACTACATGTGTTATTGTTAGGTCAAGTTATATTTGCATAATCATCTTTTTTTTTCCATGGTAACTTGTGGGTTGTGCACTGGTGACCTGCAGATGGCGACAGAGCGTTGAAATAAAGTCTGGTTACGCCATCCCTCTGTTTAATGTCACTTTTGCCCTTGTTTCAGAGAACAGAGCGAGCTGTATGCAGTCACACACTGCGAGTATTAAAATAAACTAAAATAAGCAGACACATGGTCATGATTATGTAATCACAGTACAAAGATTTTATTAAAACGAATAAGATATACAGAAATCTCAGAGACATTATATTGTGTTTTTTACATCTTTAATAAAATAGTATTATTTAATATTGTCTTATAATAAAATAAATATTTCTTTGCTCTAGTATGTCTTTCTGTCCCCCTAATATGATCCCAAAATGTTAAATCTGTTCATGAGAGGTTAAAAATGTAAAAGGATTCTGGTCATGAGAAGTTTGGGGTCAGTAAGATTTTTTTTTAAGTCATATAAAAATAAAATTATAAAAATATCCAATAAGCAATTCATTGATTTAAGGTGGCAGTAAATATTTTGTTACAGAAAATGTTAATATTTAAGCAAATGTTGTTCTTTTTGAAGTTTCTGGGGAAAAAATCATATTAGTATGTTTTTTAGGTAAGAAGTATATATAATAGAAAATGCCAAATTGTTTTAATATGTCACAATATTAAAATCTATACTGCATCTTAAAACATAAAAAACCTCTTACAGTCCCCAACACCATTAACCAGTACAGTAATTGCTTCATTCAATTTACAAATAATATAATATTTCACTGTAATGCATAAAAGGCACATTTTATAATGCAAGGTAATAATCTCTTTGGGAATGTTAGTCAAGGCACATCAGTTTAAATTTCACAGTTGAGAAAACATGTTCGTATTAAAAAAACAATGGTGTAGTAAAACAATTCTTCAATTCTTCTCGGTTACCAGCTTGTTGTAAATGTGCACCTTCATTTGTCAATGCCTTTAAGTAGTTTAGTGCTTCTGTGTTGCTCTGAGGTCTTCGGTGTGTTGTGTTTCCACATGTTTCATCACTGGACTTTCTGTAGGGAAGTGTAATACTCTGTGAGAACCTTCCAGGCTTTAGGGGCCATGAAGCCATCAGGAGGGTTTTCTCCACTGCGGGCAAGCTTGCGCATCTTAGTCCCGGAGATGAACTCAAACTCAGCATGTCTGAGTTGTCGAAAAACAAAACAAAAAAAAGTTGCATTTCATCCAAGATCAAACATTCTCAGGCACTTCTCATTTTCTTCTTCAGTTGAATGTTAAATGTAATCATTAAATAAGATTTTTTACCTGAAACTCTTTAGCTGGGGTTCATAAAAGATAACTGTATTGTTATTTAGCATCATTATTCTTACATGACTTCATAATAAAATAATTACATTTCTATTACAAGATTACTATTCAAATCAAAAGCATCTGTTAATATTATTTAATGGAACTGGGCTGACAATAACTAAATAAATGAACAGCTGTATTTTATTGAACTAACTTTACTAAAGGTTTCTGTAAAAAATGCAATGCATATTGTTGTTTAATGTAAGTTGATAAATTAACTGTTATCTGTTGAAAGCAGGCCGCCTTTCACACTTCTGAATCAACTATGTTTAAATGCAGTAATTCAATCATTTTGATTCATCTTTTTGCTTATGTTACTGGTTATTGTGAAAAAGCCCTGTAAATCCTCACTATGCTTCTGGAATTTTTCTGAATGCATTGAATCAGAAACGCACAGCCATTCATCTTTTCTTGCTAATTTCCTGTGAATTAAATTTTCTTTTATTTGGTTAATTTTTATAATTCTTATTAATTATTAATTATAAAATAATTTCATTAATAAGCACAATGAATCTACATTTTAAGAGACATTGCTTACAGTGCTTTTACTGGTTTTTATATTAATTTAATATTAAACAAATGTTCATTCTTTGCACCAAAAAGAAAGTATTGTTTAATTATTTTTGACAGTTATATGCATGTAGACCTAATGGTTAATAATAAATGGATATTATAATTACCTTTGTCAAATAAAATGTTTACAAGACAAATTATAGAATAATAGACAAATTTTATGTAAACATTTTATTTGACAAAAATGGGTTTACATACGTACAATATGTGAAATTATGCTACATCTATTATAGTAAACATTTTATTCACATACATAAATTAATGGATGTAGAATAATTTAATGTATTTTCATTTTAGCTACTTTAAAAACAAATATTTATAATTTTCAATTTGTTTAATTTGCTAAATAACAAAAGTTTATAAAAACTACACATTAAAAGGCTAAAATTACAAGTAGTACTTTGAAATGACCAAAATTACTAAATAAGAAATATATATACTGCTCAAAAAATAAAGGGAACACTTAAACAACACAAAGTAACTCCAAGTGTTTCCTTTATTTTTGAGCAGCATACAGTATACAGTGCTCAGCATAATTGACTACAACTCGTTTTAAAAAGTTATCATTTTCTTCATGTCTCAGTGAGTATAGGCAATGTATTTAGTGCATTTAAACAAATCAGATTTATTAAACAGATATATTTATTAAAGTAATATTTTTGTCTCCAAACATTGATTGATTTAAAAAAATATTTATAAATTGAAAGATAATACAATTAAATTCAAGCAAAATACTGCAAAAATATTACAACCTACAAAATTTCAACAAATTTTAAAAATATTTTTGCTCCTCTTAATTGTTCCTCTTTTTTTTAAATTTGTATTAATAATTTCTTTAACATATACATTTGGGTGTACTAGATTTTAGACAGTTATCGTAAGTTATTCAGTTACATAAGCTCCATTTTTGGCTTCAGTACTGACTAATAAAGTATATGCACAGATAATATTGTATTGCTTCCTATTAAAAATAGAAATTTAAAAGAGAGATATGTGAGGGGTGTACTTATATATGCTGAGCACTGTATCAAACTTTACATTTTTAGTTTAATTATTAATATTCCTACAACCTCATGCTCTTTAATCTCACCTGTCTTTGTCATAAAAGTCCATAGCCCTCTTGGTCTTGTTGTATGCAGCCACTCTGAAGGGAATAATCTCCACAGAGTTGAGTCCAGGAGCCATGGACAGAACTTTAGCACCATGAGTTGGTTCATACAGGTCCTGCCCGGACTCAGGATGAGGCATCCCAGCAGGATCACGACCCACAATGTAGAAATTACACCCTGCCACCATCCTTGCACGACAATGCCACTGAACCTAAAAAGAAACCCCAACCAGATAAACTAATAACTGCGTGTCCAAGGTTAGAACTTCCTAAAAAACAAAAGAAAAAAATCCAAGTACCTCAGTAGGCCCAGCATACATCATAGGAGAAGGAAAGATAGCCACAATGGAGGATTTAGGGTCTAAAACGCCGTCCTCCATCACAGCCGCATGCTGTTTCATCCTCCACTCCAGAGGCACATCATCGTCTTTGGTCCAGCCACCCAATGGATGCAAAAGCAGCACAGGCCTTCGATACCCGCGCTCATTTATTCTTCGACGTGTGTCCGTCATTAGCAGAGCATGGCCATTGTGCACCGGGTTCCTTAACTGAAAAGCGAACACAGCGTCTGGGGAAACAATGGAAGTGATTACAGATTGGGCTATAATTTGTAGTCCAAAATATATATGTCTTAAATATATACATTTCTCAAGAGGGCGCTATAAAGCCAAATATCCAAGACACTCATGTGAAGTATGTAGTTTGTCGTTTTTAAATTGTCATCAGCCAATAAATGTTTGATATGTAGTATAATAAGGGAAATAAATACCTTTTGGCCGTACCCTTCCAAATACCTGCTTGTTAATTACATTTTTTGTTATCTATTTTTGTAATTCTTTTGGCCACAAAGTGTGAGCTTTATACATCATTATCGCATTGTAATTTGGATTCATTTCATAAACAAAAAAACCCCCCAAAAAAACAAAGCAACATCTCGCAGCCAGAATTTTTCGACATGAGAAACCTGACAAGCCACATTTTTTTTATTGGCATTTTCGTAAGTAGTTTAAAGCTTAACTGTTGACAGAAGATTACAACACAGATCATCATGTCAATGCAGCAGCTTGTGTCAAAGATAAAAAAAATAAAAAATAAAAAAAACTTCCCTGGTTGTCTATAAACATGTGCACACTAATTTTATGCAAAGCACTCTGGATGTATCTGGCGAAAAAATCAGATTCTGACTTTTTTTAAGACATGAAATAAATGCTTGTGCATTGTTAAAGTTAGGAGCTATTCTGTATTGCAATTTAAATGCTCCTTTCCAAAAAGTAATTAATACTAAAGATATTACCTTGAAGGGCTGCAATGTACGTCAACATAAAACTGCACTTATGATTTAGCAAAAGCTTTAATTGTCATGCACCTCTTGTCAGGGTAGCACGGTTGTTCAATCAGTACTAAGGCCCAATCCGAATTTTACCCCTTAGCCCTTCCCTTTACCATAACCCCTCTTTTTGCATGTCCTATGAAAGGGTAGGGGTGTCCGAATTTTCTTAAGTTTGAAGGGGTAGGGCTAAGGAGAAGGGTTGAATACCCGCTTTGAACGAATATTTTTCAGGACCACACTTGAAACCAAGGGATAAGAAAATTTCCCAGAATACACCAGCCACAACGGCAGATAGTTACATCCGGAAGTAAGGAGATCCACAAATTAGTATTTTTTGTCATTATTACACATTTTTACAACAAAAAGCACGTCTTAATATATTCATAACAGCGTTCGTGTTTTACCATCATGCTTTTTAAAAAAAAAAAGCTAAAATACAAACCGCTAAATTTCACGATCTATAATCTTTAATAAACTCCTGTATAGCAGTTCCACACATTTTGACACTCAGCAACACTCAAATACCCTGTCAGAAAAGTCTAGTGGCTGGGAACAAAAATAGAATTGGGATTGGGCCTAAATCTTCTCCGCCAGCCAGCGGGCGATCTCACAAGTAACTCAGAACCAGCTAATACACTAATATAATCATGCAATCTGAACGCACATGCTGGAGATTTACTGCTGATTACAGAATTGGCTTTACTGACAAATGCGCACAACAATTATCTTCCTTTTATTGTGTGGTATGTAATTACAAATTCATCATAACATCAAACGGTGACTGAATGGTGTCCGTTAACAGTATGTCACTCCAAAATTAAATAAAAAAAAATTGTGAAAACATCAGGGCACTAAATCATGTTCTGACTCTTGTTCTTTATGTATACTCAAGTATAAGTGATAAGTTCTCTTTAAGAGCTGCAGTTCTCTTTAACAGCCACCAGTGTTGCTAAAAACAAGTTTTCAATATTTGCATTTACCTGCTTTCATCTCTTTAAAACGTTGCTTCAGCTCCCGTGGAGTGAGACGATACTGATCCAACCCATCGTTCCATTTGATTCGCTCCAAAACCTCCAGGTCACCTCCTACCAGCCAATCACCGCTTTCCAAAACCATCTGTTCACAGGCAAATGGTTAAAGCATTGATGAGTTAAACCAACTGACCACAGCAAAAGCATTATTATAATTGTATTTTCAACATTGTTAACATATTACTATATATCATTAATATTTTTAGAGCTGGCAATTATCTTGTGATAAACAGTTGAAGTCAGAATCATTCGCTCCCTTTTGAATTAGTTTTTCTCTTTTTTTCAATATTTTCCAAATGATATTTACCAGAGCAGAGAAATTTTCACAGTATGTCTGATAATATTTTTCTTCTGGAGAAAGTCTTGTTTGTTTTATTTCGGCTAGAATAAAACCAGTTTTTAATTTTTTAGAAACCATTTTAAGGTCAAAATTTATTAGCTCCTTTAAGCTTTTTTTTTTTTGACTGTCTACAGAACAAACCATTGTTATACAATAACTTGCCTAATTACCCTAACCTCCTTAGTTAACCTAATTACCCTAGTTAAGCCTTTAAATGTCACTTTAAGCTAATAGAAGTGTCTTGAAAAATATCTGATCAAATATTATTTACTGTCATCATAGCAAAGATAAAATACATCAGTTATTAGAAATGAGTTATTAAAACTATTATGTTTAGAAATGTGTTGAAAAAAAAAAACTTTTCTCCGTTAAACAGAAATTGGGGGAAAAAATAAACAGAGGGGTGAATAATTCTGACCTCAACTTCAGATATAAATCATTTAACAATATTAAACTGAGACTTCTAAAAAAAAGTCCTTATTTATTTGATTTGTTATGCTTTTATTATCATTGAAATGACAAAAATGTCTTTAGTACTTTTATATAAGGGTGTTTGGGGCAGGTTGTCCCCCACTGGCGTGCACATCGCTCTTCCTTTCGATGCTCGTAGAACTCAGGGTTGCGCAAGATGGCGATGGGTTTTTCCTGGTACTTCAGAGCCACAGCTGCGGTGCCTTGCAGACGCTCTTTAATCTCAGTGGCAACAGGAAGGACAATGGGCACCGAGAGATTAATGGCACAACCTACATTTAAAGAGAAGCCGATTAATCTATACTATTAGGAATAACTATAAAGAGATCGCTGAAAACACTTACGTATTATTTACAATTAGAATATTTATTATTGATATTTCTGTTCATTTATAAATCATCATTTACTCTCCATTTACTTGTCGCAAACATGTTTGAGTTTCTTTTGTTTAACACAAAATAAGACATTTTGATAAATGTTGTAAAACCTGCAACCATTGACTTCTATAGTATGTGGTTTTATGGATGTCAATGCTTATAAGTATTCAGCTTTCTTCAAAATATCTTTTTTTGTGTGAGAAGAAAGAAAGTATAAAGGTTTCAGGCCTGTAGGTTTCAGCCTATTAAAATAGGTGGTTCTTTTTTTCTCAAAAAGTGAATCTTTTTGCAGATATTCGAGGTTCAAATACTGCATATTAGTGACATTTTAAGCACTAGTTTGTGCTGGACTAGCTTGTCAGATGGTTATCATTACCACACTTTTTGATGCAACAAAAATACTTCCTACATTTTTATTAAAGTGCTTATCTTACTATTTTTTGTTTACAAAATTATTTACAAATGCGCATTTAAACTGTAAGTTATTACAGTTTTATGTATACTGTAATGAGACTAGAATTTTAGAAATATAAAAAAGTTCTTTTACATGCTAATTTATTATCATCCATCATAAAAACACAAACAAACACAATACAAAGAAAAATTGGGAATCTGTTAAAACTTGTTTTAAATAAAAACTGTACTCTATAGGCAAATAATAAACTAGCCAGCTCATTTGTTAGGTCAGAATTTGTCCATTTAAATCAGGGGTCACCAAACTTGTTCCAGGAGGGCTGGTGTTCTGCAGATTTTAGCTCCAACCTCCAACAAGCTAATCAAGGTCTTACTAGGTACACTTGGAAAAACTGAGGCAGGTTTGTTGAGGCAAGTTGGAGCTAAACCCTGCATGGACACCAGCCCTCCAGGACCGAGTTTGGTGACCCCTGATTTAAATAATAAAAGCCTTCTTTTATTGGTTATTTTATTGGTTATTCTTCTTAAAGTCTTCGTCTATTGGTTGTTTTCACAATTTATGATGGCATACTATCAAAAATGAGACAAATATGCTAATATAGGGGCCAAATTCTGGACTTTGTCAAAAGGGGGTGGCTCTGGGCCTAGGATTATAATCACTTGATGGTGAGTAAATAGTGGGTTATTTTTCTTGTTTGGCTGAACTATACCTTTACGAGAAAAAAACAACAGTTTTTTTTTTATGTACGAGTAGCTATTAATACAATTTATCTAAATCCGTTACAATGTTAAATAAATTAAGTGAAGCTAATATTCCAATTTCCAACTCACTTTCATTGTAAACGCTTACATACAATAGAAAACACTTTGAAAAAGCAGCCTCCTCCCCTGACCGATGTTTGCTGACCATCCCAATTATATCAAACAAAGCATATGAGTTTCACATCATTGCATCATTCCGTCTCCTGAAAGCAGCTTCGGTGCTGGCACCTGCTATTTCATGCATGAAGCATAGACTTAGATCAGCCTTCTGAAACTAGTATTTACAGTATACCATTACCAGCATTGATTAACCTGACTAGGTTTAATTGCTCTATTTAAAGCATGATGGTTTGAGACATCTATAATAAAGAGATAAATGTATGCGCTTTTATGCTACCTTCCAGAAGGGTGTCGAAATGAATGGCTTGGAGGTATTCTCTCTCCCTCATGAAGCCCTTCAGAGGACTGGCCCATCCTTCAGCCAACACCTGCACCCACTGTAAGTCCAACTGCACACACAAATACAGAAATATGTGTTTACAAATGGAAAGGTTAGCTAATATTACATGTTCAAAATGTCTGTTGGATAGAAGACAGTGTGCACTAGAAAAGTTCATCCTTGTATGAAGTTGTCTTTTTTCTTTACATTTTATTCATTAAAATTGAAATGTGGTCGGCACCAATGGAGTAGTGGTTAGTGCATCGACACATGACACTCTGGTGTTCACGGCAACCCGAGTTCAATTCCCACCTTGAGGTCTTGTGCCAATCCTGCCCCTCTCTCTGTTTCCCATACTTTCCTGTCTACTTGCTTGTTAAGTAATGATGTATGGAATACTGTTTCCGGGTCCAAACCGCTACTCATTTGAATTGAGATAATATTCGTTTTTGACCCCTTTTTAGTCATATCACACATTAAAGCGAATTTAATATAAAATCCTAGTGCACACATTAATCTCTGGACTTTATCAAAAATACCAAAATTGTAACAAAAAAGGTATCACTTTCTGATCATCTGATATTACCCAGCAGGCACACAACATCATAAGACGTTAATATTAGGTTAGATCTAGGTTGTGACGTCAGGTGACCAAAATTCAATGTGCTGCCAGCGTCTAAGAACAACGTTATTTTGATGTCCAATAATGACGTCAAGTTATGTTGGTATTTGGTTGATTTTAGGTTTTTTTGCAAAGTGACCAAAATACAACATCTGATGTCATAGTGGTAACATCCACACGACGTCAAGGTGTAACATGATTAGAAGTTGATATTTGGTTGATTTTAGGTTGGACGTTAGACATTAATGTCGGCCTGATGTTGGGTTCTGATGTCAACCCGATTTTCATTTCCAAACAAAATCCAACGCCTCCAAGACATTGGGGTATGTGGGGTAAAACGTCAATATGACATCATGTTGACAACCTGTGCCTACATATATATATATATATCCAATACATATGTACATTTATTATTACCATTTGTTGAGTCTCCCCCTACCATACCTGTCAACCCTCCCGTTTTTCCTGGGATTCTCCTGTATTTTACAATCCTATTCTGCTATGATCCCGTAAAGGTATTTTTTCCATATTTTCAGTCTTTCTCTGAAGCGTGGGAATACACAGTAAAGAGCTGATCCTCCCTATATACAACCTATTCCACCAGACTACCAGGGGCCGCCCCTTGCTCTTAAATGCGAGTCTGTAAAATAAATATAAAAACGGGGCGATTCCCTTTCTTTTTCATTACAGGTGTCGTCGACCCTCCTATGCAATCCTCAAAACAGTCATACAGCGGTGAGTGACTTTCAGATGCACTCCATAGTGATAAATAGATGCTGTTTCCCATACGTATTCTGTACACGCGATTTAAAACGGAGCGAAAGTCTGGGTTTTGGGTGCATGTTTGAACAGACATTTACACATATATAATAATAATATTAATAATAATAATAATAAAAATAATGATGATAATAATAATAACAACAACATTTAAAGGTGTCAATCTTGGTGTTTTTTTTTTTCAAACACAAAGCAAAGAATTCTTTTATTATAACATAGATGTGTGCATTTTTTAAAAGTGACACCCCTGTTATTAATTGTAATCAAACTAAAAAAATCTAAATAAACGAGAGATTCATTTGTCGCTCTTTAATCAGAATGTTTAAATTATACAGCGAAGAAAAGAATAATGAGGTTTGATAACTTGATTCTGTTGCTTTACAATAACTATTAATTGTAATAAGCTGAACTGTATGCCAATTTGCTTATTTGTTGCTAATGTACACTATTTTATTTATTTATTTTTTGTAAATAATAATAATAAAACATATTACTGACTGATTAACAGTTTATTTACAATAAAACAGCTCCAGATAAACAAACTTAGTAATTTGGGGATTTCTTCAGATTTAGTCATTTGGGGACGTCACACTTAACAAGCAGATTAAAGAAAAAAGATTATTCTCCTTCAACATGGACAGTAGCAACATAGCAGTGTTGTTTTTGATGTCTGTAGTCATTTGCTTTTGGTTGTTTCTTTTCATACCTTAAAATAACTACCTGTTCACAATTCAAAGCACACGTGGAAGCTGCATGTACAGTTTGTTTTTTCTACTCTTTTCTTGTTGTTGGTATTTCATACTTTAAAAGAACTACATGTTCACAATTCAAAGCACATTTGGAAGCTACATGTACATTTAGATTTTTCTACTCTATTGTTGTTGTGTTTTTCATATTTTAAAAGAACTACCTGTTCACAATTCAAAGCACATTTGGAAGCTACGTGTACATTTTGATTTTTGCACTCTATTGTTGTTGTGTTTTTCATACTTTAAAAGAACTACCTGTTCACAATTCAAAGCACATGTGGAAGCTGTATGTACCTTGTAAGCACTGTTGGAATGTCTGGATTGTATGCATAACTAATGTGGCAGACAATCAAGGATGAAAAACTTTTAAGCAAAATGCATCGAGTTTGATCATGTCGACACATACAGTTTGGCCATCATTAATACGCATAACGTATAATGTTTGTATTCGTATATCCTAACATATCACTGCATTACATATTTAAGTATAGGGTAACACTTTATTTTGATAGTTCATTTGTTGAATTTAAGTTACGTTGCATCTACATGCCAACTAATTCTCATTTGATTTTAAGTAGACTGTTAGGTTGGGGTTAGGGTTAGTGTAAGTTGACATTGTACTTGCAAAGTTTCTTATAATCAGCTAAATTTCTGTTGAAGGAGCAGTATTAGCAGACATTAGGCAGACAGTCTTCTAATACTCAAATGGACCGTCAAATTTTTTTTTACCAAATATAGCCTTAATTTATACAGCAATTTCATTGATTGTTGTGCTTGTTGAAGCATTGATGTGGTCATACCATTATATCATGGTGGACGAGGTGCTCATTCGGACTGTTATACTAATGTATATGGTGTATCTTAAAGTGCTTACATTAACATATTGTTTTCCCATGAATACATTATTGTCGTTATTAAATCACATTCATAATATCGTGTTACATGGACCTAGCACTATGCTATACTTTTTTTAAACTAATTTCTAAGCTCTGCGTCTTACATTTTTAGAAGTAAAGATGTGTTTGGTCTAATTTCTAATGTTTTCTTTAAGTATTATGTTGTACATGCAGTTATATCATCATATCCTGCACAAATAAATATGATGTTTATGTATATCCTGATTTACTAATGCATTGCATACTTTTTATTGGCTGTTGTGCTTGTTGACAGTATCACAAATGACACTGGCATGCTCAAATTGTCATGGGTTGAATTAAAACATTTTTGGCCATAATTGCCTTCCATAGAATAGAGCTGGCTAATCACACACACACACACACTACACCAGTGTTTTTCAACCACGTTCCTGGAGGCCCGCCAACACTGCATGTTTTTGATGTCTCCTTTGTCTGACACACCTATTACAGGTCTTTTACTCACTGTTAATGAGCTGATGATCTGAATCAGGTGTGTTTAATTAAGGAGACTTGGAAAATGTGCAGAGCTGGTGGTCCTCTAGGACGTGGTTGAGAAACACTTCACTACACAGTACACAACATCAAAAGTTTCCACAAATGAACATAATGTCTCAAATATAACGATTTCATTCACTTTTGTTCTGTCATGGTCAAGTAATGTGAGCTGCCACAATCTAATTTTCGTTAAAAGACTTTTGGCCCCTACACATACTCTTACTGTATGTACACTCAAACTGCGTGTGTTGCCACAAGATAATTTCACATTTCATTAAAAGACTTTTGGCCCCAATGTCCTTCCGTACTGCACTGTACTCTTGCATACACTCAACAACCGAAATATACTTTGGGCTTAAAGAAAAACATCCAACTCGTATTTGCTGTAGGTCTCTGGAATAAATTAGCACGGTAATTAGGCAGCAGCACACTGTTCACGAGCTGATAAAGCAGTTGTGTGTCATCCTGTCAATAATTCACTTGCATTTATGAAGGCATGAACATGAGCGGTTGTGGCCTTGAGCAGTAATGCTGCTGGTTACCTTGGTGATGCTGATAGAGGGCAGGGTGCTGGCTTCTGCCTGTGCCAGCTTGAGTCTGTTCTCTGGCACAAAGAGTTCATTAATCTCCTCCACTACTCCACTGGGAATGATGCTCTGAGAAAGAGAGATAGAGAAAGAAAGAGAGGGTTGTCAAAGGGTTGAATGAAAAAGGTGTGTGAACAGAAAAAAGATGGAAGTAAACTGTATCTTCCATCCAGTTTCCTTAATGAGTGTAACTGTGATATTGTCAAGGTTGTTCAGCAACAGAAGACAACATGGTTTAGGTGATTAAAATCTAATAAAATATTATAATAAATACTTTTGTCTTATTTTAAGCTAGTATTACTTATTACTTATATATTCTTGTATTACTTATATATTCTTTTAAAATTATACTATCTTCTTTAAGCCCCATACAAATTTTCTTTGCCCTTGTTTGTTTGTTTAGTTAATTTGTTAAGTTTAATTTGTCTTTTTCTTGTACTACTAGTTGGTTTTGTGCGCCCCATGTATTTATTTATTGAATCATTCATTTTTTGATTTATTTATTTATCTATCGATCCATCAATCCATCTATTTATTAATTCATGCATTTATTTATTTATTTATTCATTCATTCATCTATTCATTTGTATATTTTTTTATTCATCCATCTATTTACTTATTTATTTATCCATTCATCCATGTATTTATTAATTCTTCCAATTATTTATTTATCTATATATCCATTTATTTGTTTATTTATTCTTCCAATTATTTATTTATTTATTCATCCATTTATTTATTTATTCATCTAGTTGTTTTTTATTTATTCATTCATCCATCCATTTATTTATTTATTCATCCACCTATTTATTTATTTATTTATCCATCTATTTATTTATTCATCTATCCATTTATTTATTTATTCATCCATCTATTTATTTATCTATTTATTTATTCATCTATCCATTTATTTATTTATTTATTCTTCCTTCTATTTATTTATTTATTTATCATCCATTTATTTATTAATTAATTTATTTATTCATTTGTTTATTTAACTCTTTTGTCTTCTTTATCTTATTGTTTTATATATATAATTAAATATAAATCATAATAATAATTTTTTGTTATTTTTGTTACACTTAATAATCTGATCATTAATTTGATCATATACTTTAATATATAGTTTAACTGATTGTTTGGTTTATCTCTAACAGTGATTTTCTAATTTCCTCTTATTCCTCGCAGAAAGTTTATAGGTGGGGGCGGTCATCTAATGTTGGTTTAGTTCTCGTTTGACTTTGGACATGAAAAAAAGAACAATTTACTCATTGTATTGTCCTATTTTTATCTGTCTTTGTAATAAAACATATATATACAGAATTTACACTAGTGTTTGGGTTAGTTTTAAATGTTTAAATGTTTTTGTTTTTAATGTTTTAGAAAAAAGCCTTTTAAGGCTTCATTTATTTTTACATTTGTTTGAAAATGCAAAAAATAAATAAATACTGTCAAATATTATAACAACTTAAAGAAAATGCTTATTATTATCATATGTTTTAAAATGTCATTTATTTCTGAAATGGCAAAGCTGAATTTTCCACATTCATTACTCTGTGTTCAATTTGAATCTTCACTATTCATTTTAATATAAATTTGGTTCTTAAAAAACATTTTTATTGTTAGCAATGTTTTTTGAAAAAAAAGTTGTGTTGCATAATATTTTTGTAAAAGCTATGATATAATAAAAAAAAGTCAGTTCAAAAAAAGAACATTTTTGTCAATGTTTTCTTTACTGTCATGTGATAAAAGTAATCATTTATTTTGTCCAAAGAAAATTAATTGTTAAAAATGATAGAGAAAATGGCTGCACAGACTTGTAGAATGACATGATGCTGAGAAAATAATGACACCATTTTATTTCTAATTGAACTATGCAAAACTTGAGAACGATATTCATTTTCACTAGTAAACTGTAGTAAACTATCCTGCCCTACTAAGGTTTTGCCTTTTTGAAAGATATGTTGTCAGAGGCCTCGCAAATGTTTACATTTGACTATGAATTCAGCCATGAGGTACTGTAAAGATCAAGGCACATCAGCAGTTGTGAAATGGTCAAGTGTGTGTTCAGCTGCTAACTAACATGCTTCTTCAGAAGCTCTACCAGCTGCTGAATGGACTCGTTGACGGTGAGCTCTCCAGTCCTCAACACCAGCTCTGGAGCCTCCGGATGCTCATACTCAGAGTCAATACCAGTGAAGCCTGAGCCACAAATCACACAAAAAAACAAAGGAGGTGAGTGTAAGTTGAGTATACATTTCTTTTGTCACTTCTTGATTTTATGTATTTATTTTTTTACTTAGTGGTGTACTTCGTATAAAAATTAAAATTCTGTTGACGTTTTTAAACCTGTTAGGGGTTTTGCCAAAAAAAAAAAAGATATTTTGAAGAATGCTGAAAACCGATAACCATTGACTTCTATAGTATTTGTTTATTTTTCCTGCAATAGATGCAAATAGTTTCGAACATACTTTAAAATATCTTATTTAGTGTTCAACAGAACAAAAAAAAGAAGTCAAGGGTGAGTAAATGATGACGAAATGTTTATTTTTGGGTGAACTATCCCTTTAACACTGGAACAGCCAGAATTCTGCAACTAGAAGTACCATAGTGGTCATTCTAACCATTCTCATAAAAGACATCATAATGTCACATCATACTTACATCCAATGCTTCTATTGCGATATTAAAATTAAAGTTTAAATGCCTGTCATCATATTTATTAAGTCATCACCCTAAAAATACAACATACATTAATTTTCACTTTTAAAAGCAGAGGAGAATACTTGTTCAGCACTAAATATGCTGTTTTGAAAGACATACAGTTAAAGTCAGAATTATTAAACCCCCTGAATTATTAGCCCCAGCGTTTTATTTTTTTCTGTTTAAAAGAGGATATATTTTTTTTACATATCTTATCATCATAGTTTTAATAACTCATTTTTAATAAGTGATTTATTTTATCTTTGCCATGATGACAGTGAATAATATTTGAGTAGATATTTCTACTCAACACTTCTACACAGCTTAAAGTGGCATTTAAAGGCTTAACTAGGTTAATTAGGTTAACTAGGCAGGTGATGGTAATGATGGTTTGTTCTGTAGACTATCAAAAAAAATATAGGGGTGAATAATTTTGACCTTAAAATGTTTTTTAAAAAATGTAAAACTGCTTTTATTCTAGCCGAAATAAAACAAATAAGTCTTTCTCCTGAAGAAAAAATATTATCTGACATACTGTGAACATTTCCTTGCTCTGTTAAACATCATTTTGTAAATATTTAAAATAGAAAAACCAATCAAAGGGGGGCTAATATTTTTTACTTTAACCGAGTAAAGTAATGTTTTTGCCAACAGAAAGTTGATTTTTTTTTAGCAAAAAGTTGCTAGGCAACAGATGCACGCATATTTAAAGTTACAGGGAAAATGGCAGACACTGAATTGCATGCAGTCATTGGTAGTCCTAGGTAGAAATAATCAGAACTCTTTTTTTGTAATTTTAACAAAATAACATTGCGTTTCTAAAACTCAGGGTGTGTGTGTTTTATTTCAGCAAAGTTATTTAATTGCAAAAATTTCAAATGGTCAAAATGAGCACCTCTGCAGTTCTAGTATTAAAAATTCTACATGTTATATTACCTTTAATCTGTCCAGCTCTTGCTTTTTTGTACAGTCCTTTAACATCTCTGCTTTCACACACGTCCAGAGGAGCGTTCACAAACACCTCAAAAAAGGGCAAACCAGCTTTCTCATGAATGATTCGAGCTTCTGCACGGTCCTTAGCAAACAAAGAAAAACAAGAGTATTAATTTAACATTTAAATTACATTTACATTAGGCAGATGTTTTTATTTATTTTTTTATATTATTGGTTAAGTTAAATAAATGATTTTAGTATATGCAAAGTGTAGAATTGGAGGCCGTGTACTAGAGTGAGTTTAAAGTGTCCCTCAAACATTCAAAATGGTCTAATAATGTTTCTGGTGTTGTGACTTTGGTATTATCCTTTAACTAAAACCTTGTTTATCCAATATCACTATATTAATCAAAGATAAAAATATTTATAGTCTGTGCTGTGACTGCTCACTTTGGTAAATGGTGAGATGAAACTTGTGATGCAAACGAGTCCAGCATCTGCAAACAGTTTGGCCACTTCTGCAATACGCCGAATGTTTTCCTCTCGATCCTCTGAGGTGAAGCTCAAATCTTTATTCAGACCATGACGGATGTTGTCACCATCCAGAGAGTAGCAGGGAATGCGATGCGAGACCAGATATTCCTCTAAAGCGAATCCTACTGTTGTCTTACCAGCCCCAGATAGACCTGCAGAAACAAACACAAAGTCAAAAAGACACTCCTTGTTTAGGCAAGTCTGTCTGTGTCTGTCTGTAAATATAAACTAAACATTACTTTATTATGAATTAATGATAAGTTAAGGTATCCAAGAACTAACTTTACCAACATCAGTCACAGGAGTTCATGTGTGAATAACTGCTACCTTAATTGTTAGTTCATGTTGTTAATAATGTCTTAATTAACATTTGAGATTTAGGCTAAATGTAGCCAACATGAACTCATGAGCTGTTAATGTATAATTATGTTGTGACTTTACTTGGAGGGGCACATCACCATTAACTCATCCACAACTACTTATGAACTCCTGTGTTTAAACTGTTCATGTTGATGTTGCAGAACACTTTTCCATTTTTATTCAGTGTAAACACACTAGATGGACATGGATAAGGTGTTCATGAGTAGTTAAGTATGGGTTAATGATGATGTGCCCCTCCAAGTAAAATCATGATATAAATATAGATCATCATATAATGAATTCTTGATGGTTAAATTAAGCATAAACAAAGTGGTAATTAATACATTAATTAACAAACTAATGTATTTAGGGTAAATAACTAGTACTAAAAGTACCCCTTATTTAATAACTTGTATAACTAGTACTTAAGATAGCCCTTACTCACATATGAACTCATGTGACTTATGTTGTAGGTAAAGTCAATTCATCATTAGTGCAATAATTAACTCATCATTAATTCATAATAAAGTAATATTTAGTTTACATATTAATACATCATTATTGATGCACTGTTATTGTGAAGTGTTAAAATGTATTTTAATACAATGGTTTTAATAAAGTCTACTATAAACTTTAAACTATCTTATATTTATTTATTTAAATAATGTATTAATTATTTTTCATGTTTTTACAATTTTAAATGATTTTTTCAAAATTCATTTGCATGCCCCCCTTAAATTGATGATCATTTTTACTTTGTTTTAAATGGAAAATATGTACAATGTTCATGATCATTTGAGTAAAGCTATTAAAACAGTGAACATGCATAAACCATAAATCTGTATTAAAAAAAGTTTAGTCAGCATCTGGTTTAAAGTTCAGAGCAACTTGCTTTACAGGTGTCACAGGTTTGTGAAGAGGAATCTGCTTTACCTGACATTGAGTTTGATTGCCAAAGCATTTTAGATTTCATCACTCAAGCTTGCTGAAAATTATTTCAAATAACACCTTCTGTTTTTTAACTGATGACAAGGACTTGCTGTAACTGAACAGGCAACAAGGGTTAGACAATGTTCTAGGTTTTTGTGCCAGAGATTTTAAATGATATTAGTTATATAATGTAAACAGCAAGGGACCAAAAACCGAGCCTTGTGGTACCTCACAGTGTATTTTTGATCTATATACGTCTTTCTTCATTAACTAAAACAAATGAATAACGTTACTATAGGAAAGACCTGAAGCAAGCCAACACAGTTACAGTAATGTCTAGCTAATTTTTCATGCCAATCTAGAAGAATATTTGATTATATTGTTGTTTTGTGTGCTTTTACATTCATCGATTACCTGTGAGCCAGACTGTACATCCTCTAAATCCTCCTCTGGTGCCTACAACTTGCCCTCTTTTACTGCGGCTGACATGATGGTCCTGGTAAACCACGTTAGTGGACTTCTGCATATCCTAAAACAGACATGACCACAAATTTACAGCATATTCTAGCACTGCATCAGCATTCAAAATACCATTTACAATTTCTATTTACACTACATTGACATTTACACATATTATGCTTGACAGATGCTTCTGTATGTTTAATTTTTGACACCAAGGGCCAAATTCACAAAAATGGGGAATGTAGCCTGCTAGTAAATTGCCAAAGAAGCACCCACAGGTGTGTAGATTTCGGTGGGTGATCTACAAAAATGCAAATGCAGCAGCTCTTTTCTAAGATGACCAGCATATAGAATGAGGTCATCCATAAGTGAACTATGACCTTTTATTGTTAGCATAAATTATTACAGTAGCCAAAAGAGTTTGAACTAGTACAGGTTATTACCAAATCAGTTGAATAAATTGGTAAATAACGTTTTTGTTTTGTTCACCTCCAGAATTTGCAACTAATGGAGTAAACAAATGTTATTCCAATTACCACTAAGGATATTTACACAGACAAATAAAGGATTAATTTCATGCAGTTCTTAGCCCAACACCAAGCAAATACCACAAAACCATTTAATGGAGTCTATGAATTATAACTAAATATTTTTATCTCACCTCATCTCATCCTATTTATCATATGGTCAACTTTTCCAGTGTGGACAGATTGCTCAGTAGCTCAAATTATACAGTGTTAAACCTGTGAGCACTCAGGTTTGAGTATTTGATAACTTTTAGAGCAATGTTGCCCAGCAACTTCTGGTAATGTTGCGGTTAACGGACAGCCAGATGAGACTCAGAGCATCTATTTAGGCAAGGCAAGTTTATTTATCTAGCACATTTCCTTCACAATGGTAATTCAATGTGCCTTACATAAACAAGAATAAAAGAAACATTTGAGAAATAAACAAATCGTTAAAACAGGTTTAAAAGGAACAGTGCTCATTCAGTAAATGTGCAGCTAAACACACTTTATAATCTAAATCAGCTAGCATTTTTAAAAATCATTGAGAGATGGGAATTTACTCAAAGCTGAGTATTTTTCGAACAGAATACATGTTTCTGCAGCGCAAAGAAACATTTAATCATGGACATCTGAAATTGGCATAAACTAATGTTATTTCGTTTCACACTAATGATATTTACATAGACAAATAAATGATTAATTTCATGCAGTTCTTTGCCCACCAGGTAAATACCACAAAACAACTTAATAGAGTCTATGATTTATAACTGAATACATTTACCTGAGGTTGAAGCACACTTTTCTCTTACGTTTACTTTTAAAAACACTATTGGTTGGGTTTAGGTCAATTGTTTGCTAGGTGATCTGTATGACAAGCCTCACCTTCTCATGGACGTGTACTAGAAGAACATGTATACTATCTGAAACTTGTAACAAAATGTACCCCTTAAAATGATCATGCATGAGCCAACTTTTAGAGCAATGTTGCCCGGCAACTTCTGGTAATGTTGCGGTTAACGGGCAGCCAAATGAGACACAGGGTGTCTATTTAGGCAAGGCAAGACATGGCAAGTTTATTTATCTAGCACATTTTATTCTCAATGGTAATTCAACATGCTTTACAAAAACAAGAATAAAAGAAATATAAGAAATGAACAAATTGATAAAACAGGTTTAAAAGGAATAACAAAGAAAGCAAGACAATCTGTTGGACATACAGTGCTCATTCAGTAAACGTGCACCTAAACATATTTTGAAATATAAAATATGTTAGCAAGCATTTTTAAAAAATCATTGAGAGTTGGAAATTCACTCAGCTGAAAAATATTCGAACAGAATACACGTTTCTGCAGCGCAAAAAAAAAAAATAAACGTAATCATGGACATCTGATTACACCAGGTAAATACCATAAAACCACTTAATGGAGTCTATGATTTATAACTAAATACGTTTACCTACAATGTTAAACTTTTAGCAGTCAGGTTTGAGTATGGTGATAACAGATAAAAGCAATGTAAAATCAAGGTAAAGCTATGTGGTTAAAGCACACTTTTCTCTTATAATTACTTTTGAAAACACTATTGGTTGGGTTAAGCTCAATTGTTTGCTAGGTGATCTGTATGACAAGCCTCACCTTCTCATGGACGTGTACTAGAAGAACATGTATACTATCTGAAACTTGTAACAAAATGTACCCCTTAAAATGATCATGCATGAGCCAACTTTTAGAACAATGTTGCCTGGCAACTTCTGGTAATGTTGCGGTTAACGGGCAGCCAGATGAGACACAGAGCATCTATTTAGGCAAGGCAAGACATGGCAAGTTTATTTATCTAGCACATTTTATTCTCAATGGTAATTCAACATGCTTTACAAAAACAAGAATAAAAGAAATATAAGAAATGAACAAATTGATAAAACAGGTTTAAAAGGAATAACAAAGAAAGCAAGACAATCTGTTGGACATACAGTGCTCATTCAGTAAACGTGCACCTAAACATATTTTGAAATATAAAATATGTTAGCAAGCATTTAAAAAAATCATAGAAAGTTGGAAATTCACTCAGCTGAATATTACTCGAACAGAATACACGTTTCTGCAGCGCAAAAAATAAATAAACGTAATCATGGACATCTTATTACACCAAGTAAATATCATAAAACCACTTAATGGAGTCTATGATTTAAAACTGAATACGTTTACCTACAATGTTAAACTTGTAAGCACTCAGGTTTGAGTATGGTGATAACAGATAAAAGCAATGTAAAATCAAGGTAAAGCTATGTGGTTAAAGCACACTTTTCTCTTATAATTACTTTTGAAAACACTATTGGTTGGGTTTGGCTCAATTGTTTGCTAGGTGATCTGTATGACAAGCCTCAACTTCTCATGGACGTGTACTAGAAGAACATGTATACTATCTGAAACTTGTAACAAAATGTACCCCTTAAAATGATCATGCATGAGCCAACTTTTAGAACAATGTTGCCCGGCAACTTCTGGTAATGTTGCGGTTAACGGACAGCCAGATGAGACATAGAGCATCTATTTAGGCAAGGCAAGGCATGGCAAGTTTGTTTATCTAGCACATTTCATTCTCAATGGTAACTCAATGTGCTTTACATAAACAAGAATAAAAGAAACATTCAATCATTTTCCTTCGGCTTAGTCCCTTATTTATAAGGGGTCTCCACAGCCAAATGAACCGCCAACTTATCCAGCATATGTTTTACACAGTGGATGCCCTTCCAGCTGCAACCCATTACTAGGAAACACCCAAATAGGCACACATTCAAACACACACACACACGCGCACACACACACACACGCACGCACACTATGTCCAATTTAGTTATTTCTTTGCCTAATTCACCCTGTGCACATGTACTGTGCCGCTAAAAGAAACATAAGAACTAAAACATTTGTTAAAACAGGTTTAAACAGAAAAACAAAAAAAGCAAGATCTGTTGGACATACAATGCCCATTGAGTAAATGCGCAGTTATAAAATCTAAAATATGTTAGCTAGCATTTTTTTTAAAATCATTGAGAGTTGGAAATTTGCTCACAGCTGAGCATTTTAGAACAAAATACCAGTTCTGCAGTGCAAAAAAAGAAATTACTATTTGATGGACATTTGATGGACATAAACCCTAAGTACCAATATATTTCAGATTTGCACAAATGTACACAGTGACAGTGCCCTCTAGTGGATTTGTCATCTGAAACATGCAGCGAAACATACCCAAAGCAATGTATTTTACGCTACACAAAGATGGAGGCTAAAGCACATATATCCAATGAGCTTGGGCTGGAAAATCAGTCAATATTTTGAATTAAATTTAAATAAATGCTATTCTATGGAACATCAGGATTGAAGAATCCTAAAAAATTGAACCGCATAACTTCTTCTAAGATATTGAGAGGTTTTTGACAATCACATCCGCATATCAGAACGATTTCAGAACAATGACATGACACTGAAGACTGGAGTAATGTTGGAAATTCAGCCTAAATAAATTCATAAATTATCTTAAATGCATTAAAACATAAAGTCATTTTAAATGATAAATGATAATGATTTACTTCATGTAGCCGTTGTGAGCATAAAAGATCTCTTTCAAGGATACTTTTTAAACACAAAAACTTTTGAACAGCACTTATTTATGAAGATTATCTATAGTAGGGCCTACTCTGAAACAGAAACAGAAAAAAAGCATGCTTTATTTCTTATTTTTCCTCTTTTTTTTTGAAAATCCATATTGTGCTGGTATGAATGTACTCTTATTTACCAAAGATTTAGGGTATGAACAAATAAGCACATAATACATGCATGTGTGAAGCAGCTTTTGGTCTCGAATTGCGAGTCGTTAATACAGTTCGGTGTTTAGTGTACAGTCGTAATAATTCCCATCTCTCTCTCTCACACACACTCATACAAAACATCGCCTGAGCCTCAGTTCCCCGCTGAGAACTAAGCTGGAAAAATACTGGGTTTGTGCAGGAAAACCAGCGCTGCTTTATAAACACACCATTACATTCATTAACCAGGAATGTGTATCTGCATCAACTTTGGACAGGGTCAGATATGAAGGTCTTGCTGGCTGTTACTTGTCAAATGAAGAATGTTAAATCCCGCAGTTGTAACTCAGTCAATGATGCAATTTATCTACACGTTCAAACACACAGTCTTTTCTTCCTTTGACCGTCTCAGATTTACTGACAGAGTGCGTGAAAAACAAATGAATTCATTCATTGCACACTCAATGGCTTGCAGTGGCTCCCGCTGACAGACCGACTCGCTCAGACACACACTTTCTCCTATTTATTTTCTCTGTAAAGATTTACACGCAGTGCCGGTAAGGGCTTTTATGAATGAACGCTGTCGAAATCAAAAAAAGATAACAGTCTGAATATGTGCAAAACTCTGACCTCAGAGCAGATCTTTGTCTTTCTGCCTGCAGGTGTAATATTTCACTGTTTTCTAAAATAACAGATCTGGGTTGAGACATTTGGGTCGAAACACCTTTGTCATAAAAATGTGTTTTTTATCTTTAACATCTGAATCTAAAATCAGGCCATATATCATCAAATGAATGTGGATGGGGCTTTGTTTTTTTCTGTGAAAAGAGGCAGAGTACATTTTGGCAGCTTTATTCCAGCTGCTTTTGTCAGTGAAAATAGGCCATTGAGAACTGTGGTTTAAAACAGGGGTGCCCAAACTTTTTCTTATGAAGGGCCAAAGTCCAAGCTTAATTGAGAGCTGTGGGCTGAAGGTAAATATAGCAAACGGTATTACATTAAAGGGGTGGTCCACTACACAATATTTTATTTTGAACTTTAGTTGATGTGTAATGTAGCTGTGTGAACATAAACAACATGACATAAACAACTCTGAATGTAGTACGCTTAAAGTTCAATGCAAAGGGAGACACTACCTTTTACAGAGTTAGCTTAGCAATGTTTGGGGACTACAAAAAAATACATCTGGGTTAGTGAGTTTACAAGGGCCAGTTACACACATTCACCACGCGTACACACCCCGTGCAGCGAAAGGGCTTGGCGAGAGGTGCTGTAATGTTATAGCAGAGAAAGCTAAAATGCTGTCCAAATACTGCTATTTCCACAGAGTTTATTCTGTTTCTGGATTTAGGATTCCAAAGGACACGACACAAAGAGAGAAGTGCTTACAGTTTAATTTTAATTATGTTTAATTCCAGAGAATTATAAAAATATAGAGCTAGCATTTGACAAAGGAAAGCTTCCAGAATCTCTTCCAATTCAGTGGTGGATTCACGAAGAGCGTACTCACACTATGTTATGCGAACCGTGCCCAGGCCCATTTCCTAGATTATTTACGTAATTTAAATGTATTTATTTATTTAAGTGTGAGTGCTCTGAATCGGGCTCAGGCATGGTTCACTTGGGTGGCCCTGGCTCGGTTGGAAGAGGTGTGTCAAAGTGCAAAGCGCGCCTGAGTCCCAAACTGAAGACGAGACGTGACTTTTAGGGTCTGGTTCATATGGATTAATTAATCATTCTTACTGTTCAATGAACGCAAACTGTCGTAGATTATTAGAAACGCAAACCTCTCACTGCACAACAGCTGCACCTTCAGCAAACCTCCTAATTCATGCAGCATGAGGACTATATGATTGTTTATGAGCGTCAAAAGTGGCTGCTCTGTTCGGTGAAATACTTTATTGAATGTCACCCCATCCCAAACAACAAAAACAATAAAACTAAAGAAATCTCCATTGTGCTGAGCGAGAGCGCTTCTTGCTGAACAGCACATCATCGATGACGTAAGCGTGTACAGTTCCGAATGTAATGTGAGTGCAGGCCATCGGGGGAGATGGGAAGGGGGACAAGAGTGCTTCGGCCCGGTTCAATGCAACTGTACGTAGTGTGGGTACGCCATAAAACTCCTCTAACCAACAAAGCTGTGGATTGTGAGCCACAACCTGTACGTATTTTTATTTATTAAAATTGCTAAATTATATGCACAGTTTCTGGCGTTACTGATATGTTGTAGCGAGAACGTAAACAAGAATGTAAACAGCGATAAATGCTGTTTACAAATTAGCTACACATTCATATTTATCCATCAAACCGCTGTAAACACCCACAATCTTCAACAGCGCTGCAGGGTCTCTCTATGCGGCCACTTTCCCTTCGTTCAACATCTCAAATAATGAACTCGCAAATGATATGTGAGCATTTCATATAACTTACACATGCTTATTCTGAACATATGTGAAAGACACTTTTCATTTGCTGTGTTATTTTCTGTCTGATTCAGGCACAAACTTATACGGCTAATCAATGTAAGATATATGAAAAAAAAGAATGTGATTTTCTACAAGTGAAGCATGAGAACACATTGCTTTGCATCTTATAAACACAACCAAGCCTTAAAAATACACTCTGGACCACCCCTTTAAAACATCCATGGGTAATTTGCTAATTTATTTTATAATAAATAAAACAAAAAAGATTACTTCTATTTTATTTACTAATCTGCATTCAAATTGATAAAAAATGTTAATTATTTTATCAAACTTTGCCTTGATTTGCACACTGACAATCGCTGTACATTTTTTAAAAATCTGTTTCATTTAATTGAAACATTTCATTTCGTTTCATTTTTGTTTCTTTTTTTTTTCGTAGCTCAACAACAAAACAAACAGACAAAAGTTTAAATTAAAATAAAAATGAGAATCACGGTTATAGACATTCCCTAACCCTTCCCAATCATTTTCATCCTGGTGGCCCAAATCAAAGGATACAAAGGGCCAACTTTAACCCACGGGCCCTAGTTTGGGTATCTCTGGTTTAAAAAGACAGCTCACCAAAAAAATATGAAAATTTATTGAAGATTTACACAGCCTAGGGTTATCCGAGATGCACATGTCTTTAATCATCAGTAGAGCACTAAAGAAGATTTTAAGCTGAAACTGGTCCTTGGTGGTTCATAAAATGCAATTCAAAAGCACTTTGAAAGTCACTAAGCGAACTAAAGAATAAGAAAAAAATATGAACATGTACATGCAAAACAAAACTAATATGGGAACTTGTGCTGAAGGAGCACAGGTTCAATAGTCAAGGCCGTGGATTAATAATCTATGACATAATGTTTAATTGGTTGCAGACTAGTCATTTCACTTTTAAAGAGGTCAGTCAGTTTATCTTCAGGAGCCACAAATATTTAGCCAGTGTATGTTTTCAGTGCCAGTAGCTGGTGACCTGTATTTTATCAATTAATAATGACCACCACTTTAGCATTTCAAAAACTCATCTACATCTTGGATGTTGCCTGAGGGTAATTTAAAGGGATCGTTCACCCAAAATGAAATTTCTGTCATCATTTATTCATCGTTCACTTCTTCAAAGCCTTGCGTTTTCTTCTTCTATTGAACACAAAAGAGATATGTAGAAAAATAATAATTGTTGGGACAAATTGACTTTCAATTGGTGCCATCAACCAGCATTCTTCAAAATATCTTCTTTTGTTCAAACATCTTGTTTTGTTTTTTTTATAAAAAGTTTAATATAAAGTTAAACATTTATCTTTATAGACTCAGCATAAAGGTATACAGCCTACATGCACGAAAACACCCAAACAACCAAGCACGATACTTTTTCTCAATCGCAGTGAGCTTGACTAAATGAACTCTGACCATGTCTATGATTATCTGCCAAAATTGGCAAACATGAACTCTTCTGTAGCCAATGCAACTCTACTATATCCAAATATTACAAGATGTTAATCCTATAATATTTAATGCGTTTATACTAAAGGACATTTTTTTTTTGTATTTGCCAATAGTGTATTTTTGATTTTGTTGATTTGATTAAAGCAAATATAAGACTTATTAAAGCCTTGTTCAGAACAAGTAAAAAAATGTGCTAAATAATTTGGAGGGAACTTAGCAAACAAGAAACTAATGTGTAATACTTATTTTATTTTACAAAAAAAGGGTTAAGATTTGAATAACTCCCATACACTAAAACATTGAAATAACTGTTCACGCTGTAAAAATGTGCTCATCTTGCCTATAGTATATTTTAGGTTTTGCAATGTAAATGACTATATTTTAAAATCAAGATGCATCTATTTGACAAGCTTTTTTTCTGTGAAACTGATACAAACCAAGCAAACTATAGCAAGCAAGCAACTTTTATCTTGTGATTAAAATAAAAATGTAATTAATAAACTTACAAATGTTGTTTTTGTTTTAAGCTTTAACTCAAGTTACATTTCTCAGAAAACAAAAATGTACGATTCACACTACCAGTCAAAAGTTTGATGTAATTTTTTTTATTATTATTCTGCTCATCAAGGTGGCATTTATTAAATGTAAAAAGAAAAGAAGTTCAATTGTTAAATTTGTATTAAAATGTTAAATAACTGCTTTCTTATTGTTTGTAGTTTCAAATTAAATTATAACTACAGTCATTACTGTTTTTTTTACTATGACCATGAATAATAATACTAATAATAATATTAATAATTAATAATAAAGTGATTTCTGAAAGATCATGTGACTGAAGACTGGAGTAATGAAGCTAAATATTCATCATTAAAATCACTGGAATAAATTAATAAATTAAATGACAAACTACTTTTGAACATATATTTTATAGTGCAATAACTTTGCACAATTTGACAATTTGTACTGTATTTTTGATTAAATAAATGCAACCATGATGAGTAGGAGAAGCTTATTTTAAAACATTTCAGAATCCTACTGTCCCCAAACTTTTGACTGTTAGTGTATTTAAATTGCATATAACGTGTACTTTGATTTAAGGATGTTTGTCTATAGTAAAAAAAAAAAAAACATTGTGAGAAAGTTTAATGCCATAACTTAATATGAGCAGAAATCAAGTCTACATTGAACTAAAACTTTCTCTCAGTTTCATCCTCCAGGCTATGTCAAAGTCAGCTTAGTAATATAACTGTTCAATAAACAAGTAAACATGATCAAATGATAAGATTAACTCTACAATTATTGTAAAATTCTCTTACAAACATTTTTCAAAAGTCATAGTGTCAGTCAGGTTTGTAATGTTGTAATAATATTGGTCAGGTTGTCACCTATTTTGAGCTAAATAATTATTGATTGTTGCATTTTACATGGTTTATAAATTGGGCTCTTATTTATATAAACAATGGTAATGCTGAATAATACTTAAAAGTAGTCTAGATATATTATTAGTTAGCATAATTATATAAGTTTCAGTATCAAGACCTCTAAATGTAACTTGTTTTCATGTAGGCTATTGTTTTAACCTATGTTAGCCTTACATTCACTAACAGCAGAGCTCTTGCCCAACAGATCCCCAAATGATTACAGGCAGTTATATAACACATGAAAAAAGTAGCTGACATTACTAAGACAATCCGAAAACCCCTGCTAAACACATTGAATTCCTAAGGAAATGACTACGAAGAAAAAAAAACAGCCGTGACAAAATAAACAAACCGCTGGTGTCGTCAGCCACGGCTTCTGTCAAATCTTACCAGTGTATTGTTTCCAGGCATGTTGCTCCGGTGAAGTGCGGTCGTAGGCGGGACGAACAGGTGAGTTGGAAGGTAGTTTGTGGAGACGCGGAAAGAGAAGTGTTTTTAAGAGCTTCCCGAGACACGTCGAAGTCCCTCGTCCCACCTCCCGGGACTCTGTATCTGCATACGGCTGAATGGAGAGCAGTGTACCGGCATGAGGAGGAGGGACCGGGAGCTATGGGACAGAGAGGGGCGGAGAGAAAAATATAAAGAGAAAGCAAAGCCTTGTCATATATCGTAAAACAAAAATGATTTCGGGCATGACTCCCCAAGTGGTGCTTTTCTGGAGTCAATATGCAAATGCCTATCTGTTTGATAGATAAGCATCTAATGAACAAGTAGGCTACTATTTATTATGTATGAATGCGTATAGTATTTGATGACAAGAACTAGATTCTGATGATTCCTGACAATATCTTAAAGAAGGTACTGAATAATGGGAAGTATTAGACTAAATGTTAAAATTGCTTCCCATTATATGTATGCTACTTCGTTAAATGTGCACAACCAAAGAAATAACCAAAGAAAAATGAGCTAGTGAGCTACCAAATATGATTATGATATCGCATTTCTAGCATGAAATAAAAAATGTCACTCTCTTTTTTTGACTATAATTTTGGACATACCATTTGTGCCTATATGTGCACCATCAGTTTACACTGCTTTATCACTCCCTTTGACAATGAGAACAGTTTGTTCTTCTGACATTTGGCACAAAGCCTGGATTGTACTGGGGATAATTGTATTTCAGCCTTTTCTTTCTTATATATTTTTGTATATAAGTATTATAACATGTACAGCTGAAGTCAGAATTATAGCCCCCCTAAATTATTAGTCCCCCTGTTTATTTTTTCACCCTTTCTGTTTAAGAAAGAGATTTTTTCAACACATTTCTAAACATAAAACTTTTATTAATAATTTCTAATAACTGATTCATTTCATCTTTGCCATGATGACAGTAAATAATATTTTACTGGATGTTTATCAAGACACTTCTATACAAATAAAATAGATATGCTTATGTAGTTTGAGGTTTGATGTTTAAGAAAATATTAATTCTTTTATTTTTTTATCAATTTTTACTGTACCTTGGCATGACAGGAAAAATTAAGAAAAAAAACTCTTAATAATAATTTACAAACAGAATTTGAGTGATTTAACTTCATTGTTACCTTAAAACTATTTATTTGATAAAATATTATCATACGTATTATTGAACAATAACACCACAGCACAGTTTTGAGATTTGGCTCAAACGTGTTATAATCCATGGACAAAAATTTTTTTTAAAATGATGACAGTCCTAATTCTATTCATTTTTGTCAAGCACGACAGTGAAAATGCAACATCAAGTCAACATGTCATGGCTTTTGCCATTAACATTGCTAACAATCAGTTCATTTAACATAAGAATTCTTCAAGTGAACATCAGTTTGCTCCCAAGGTCTAGTTTATTGTACCTTTACAACAAAATGACACTCAAAAATGTAACACATAAAGCTATTTCAAGGTTCCCACACCTTTTGCCCAAATAGTTACCATGATATTTCTTGTCATACCTGATTAACCGAAGTAATTGCACTTACAAAAGTAATCTCAGATCTAAACAATGAGCACAACTAATGTCATATTCACTTTGGACAGTATATATATATATATAATGGCATGCAAATTCAGGCTGCTGAATTAGAGGTTTCAATATATATATATATATATATATATATATATATATACACTGTACACACACACACACACACACACACACACAATATATGATCTTCAAATAAAACTAAACAAACATTAGATTCAATTCAATTGAATTGAATTAGATGTTGGCCAAAAGTAAACTTTGGTCTAAATAGATTTTACATACCACTGACCAAGGCATTAGCAGAAATTGTGTAGTAAGCAAGAACGGATGCATCAAACCAGCAATTTTGAATGCAGACTTGTAAACAGGGTACAATCACTGGTTCTTCATTTAAAAATGCAGCAGACATCTAATTTAGCTACAATTATGTAACCCATGAAACAAAATTAAATATATCTAAAAATCGCAAAGACCTTTACTAAAGTGCTGATATATTTTGCATTAGAAGTGTCAAAATTGGTTTCCCAGTCATATTCGATTTATCTTTTGCCTGCAGTCTTTTTTTTATTGGTCCACAAATTTAGTCTATTCCATAAGCTAGCAATACTGTGGGACAAAATTAGCTTTAAAGTTTTAGTTTTAGAAAGTTTTAGTTTCTATGAAAGTGTCAGTAAGCCAGCCTTAGTGAGTTGTATTGCTGTGTTATGTTCATGAACTGTTCATTTTACACACAGTCTCTTGGTCACAACCTCCCAGCAGAGAGCTGTAGCGTTCCTTCACATCCTCATACATGGGCACGGGCTCGCTGAGTCCAGGCAAGGTCAAAGATTTCTCATTGAGTCGCACTCCAATTCTGATCCCCTCTGGACATCTATACAGCACCACCAGCAGGTTGGCAGCGTATGGTGTGATGCGGCCACTTCGAAATACTCTGTTCTGCTGGGTATTAAAGTTAGTCGAGTTGAGAGGAACGTCATCCTTGAACAGATCCAGCAGGGTGAGGAGAGGGATCAGAGTCTCAGCGTGACCAACCTGCACTGTTACAGCTTCTGTTACTGGAACATCTGAGCTGAGAGGTAGAAGAGACAAAGAAGAAACGAAAGAAAAGAGACACAGAATCAAAAACAGCAACTGCCAAGGTGTGACTGGAGAGTTGTGCTCAAGAACACACTCAGACCTGTTTGTAAACTTGGTGCCGATAGCCCATGGTTAGTGCGCCGCCATACAGTTGAAATCAGAATTATAAGCCCTCCTGAATTATTAGCCCCCCCAGTTAATTTTTTTCCCCAGATTCTGTTTAACAGAAAGAAGTATTTTTCAACACATTTCTAAACCTAGTAGTTTTTCTAACTCATTTTCTAATAACTGATTTCTTTTATCTTTGCCATGATCTTTTGCCATGATGATATTTTTCAAAATACTAGTATTCTGCTTAAAGTGCAATTTAAAGGCTTAAATGAATCTCTAATCTTGTAATCAATTAATAAATTAATAATAATCAATAATAAATTAACTAATAATCAAACTAGACTAATTAGGTTAAGTTAGGGTAATAAGGCAAGTCAATTTATAACAACGTTTTGTTCTGTAAACAATCAAAAAATATATTGCTTAAGGGGGCTAATATTAACCTTACAATGGTTTAAAAAAAATTCACTTGCTTTTATTTAAGCCGAAATAAAACACATAAAACTTTCAGCAGAAGAAAAAAATATTATAGGATATACTGTGACAAATCTCTTGCTCTGTTAAACATCATTTGGAAATATTTGGAAAAAAGAAAAATTCACAGGGGGGTCAATAATTTATTACTTCAACTGTATATCACAGCATTGATCCGGGTGTCTCGAGTTTAATTTACTGCTTGTGGATCTTTTCCAAATCAGGAAAAGTACCTGAAAAGTACCACTGTATACATTTCTGAAGTGCATTAAAATATGTCACATGAGCTAGGTTTTTTTTTTTTTGCAGTTTTAGTTTTCATGAATCCACCAGAGGTAGCTGTGTACACTTTTTGAGTCCTCAAATCTCTCTCGCAAGTGACATTTGCGCCTGCTCTTCTCGCGTAAATACACCAGAGGTTGCTGTCGACCTACTGTTTGGCTGACCGATCGACTGACCCACTCTCTCCTTCCCTAAACCCAACCAATAGTGATTTCAAAAGCACAGATCGACCCACCCACCCCCTTCTCTTAACCCAGCCTACGGTTTAAAAAAGCAATCCGGAAAAAGAAAAGCCCTCGCGTGAATTTTACCACGTTTTCAGATTTAACCACATTCTCATTCTGTTACTTGTTTGTGTTATTTTTTGGATTGTTTTTTCTTCTACACTTTCTGGAACTGTTCCTCACCGGACTCGAACCCCATCGTCGTGGTCAACTCCTCTCTGCAATAGAAGTCTGCAGATGTACATGGCGAGCTAACTGGACAAACTGCTAACAGCGGGAGATCATACTGTCCAGTAGCCTTCGTTTAAAAACATCATGCGATCTCCAGAAATGTATATAGGGCTCCATTTTCACAATGAACCTTTGTTGATCTTTTTGGATCCTGTCCCCCTGTTTCCGCCCTAATTTCCTGTACTGTCCTATCAAATAAAGACCAAAAAAAGAGAGAGCTGTTTGTAAAGGCTGTTGATTAAGATTAATTATGTTGCAACTAATGTTTAGTTTCTTGCACAGACTGTTCATTACACTTCAGACCTTAATATATCGCCATGATCTATGGGTATTCGTTTACTTTTGCCTTTATTTGTTTTTTAACTTTCATGTTACAGCATCATTCCTAAATAAAAATGGGTATGATTGTTATAGTTTTCCAGTGATGTTTTGCAGCTGGAAGGGCATCCGCTGGGTAAAACATGTGCTGGATAAGTTGGCGGTTCATTCAGCTGTGGCGACACCGGATTAATAAAGGGACTAAGCCAGGAAAAAGAAAATGAATGAATGGATGAATAATTATTATAATGAGAGACAATTTCTGACCTAAATTGTATTCCATATAATTTACCAAAAAACTCTAGATAAAAAAAAAACACATAAAACTGTAAAGATTTATTTATAATTCTCTGTGACAAAAATATATTTAAATCAATATTTTATAGATGATTTTAACAAATAGTAATACTTTAAATGCATTAAATAATTTTACATTTTAAATTATTAAAATTATTATTTAAAAAAAAGTTCCTTTGAATAAAAGTAATCTAAATGTAATCTAATGTAATCCAAATGTAAATTTATATTTTTTAAAAAATACGATAAAATACAACAAAAAAGATGTAGTTTTTAAACATGAAAGTACACTAAAGTTTCCCTAAAATTTCCACCAAACAAATTGTCAATTTAGGCACACGTGTCACTCTAAATTAGAAAAATCACAAGGAGAAATGACAAACTCCAAAGAGAAAATTAATCATGATATACCCACTTTCTAGACAAGTTAAAAAAGTCTATATGGGTTAAACTGGCATGCAACCCTGTAGGGTCAATTTAGTTACACAAACAATTTAATAGCTTTAAAACACATGACATTCAGGGTTTATTCAGTTATCTCATAGAGCACTTGTCCTTTCATTACAAAGTCCACACACTACTTGAATTACAAACTACTATTTGTTTTTTTTCCAGCAGATTAAATGACAGTGTGTCTGGGTACATGTACGTCACTGTGAGTTCCTCCCTCCCTGCTGTTTGCCCCCAATGATTATGGAGGAGTGCTCTACAACAACCTTTGAACATGAACAAAAGGTAATTTCTAAAAAAAAAAAAAAAAAAAAAAAGTATAAACATATGTATATGTGTGTGTGTGTATATATTTAGTTTTTTTTTTTTTAGAGATTACCTTTGTTCATGTCCAAAGGTTGTTGTAGAGCATACATACATACATACATACATACATACATACATACATACATATATATATATATATATATATATATTAATACACACACACACACACACACACACACACACACACACACACACACACACACACACACACACACACATTATATATTATATATTGTATATATACTTGTATATATTATATACTTATATATATTATGTATATATACATGCATAAATGTCCAGTAAAAAAACACACAAAGAGAATGGACAGACTATGAGTTCACCACCAAATCACAATGTTCTGCAGACTGAAGAAATCAGCAATGAACACTAGCTGCCATAAAACCATTCATAAAACACGCTGATTATAAACGGGCCTAGGCAAGTTTTCCTGAAGAGGTCATGGTCAGTCATTGCCTCATAATCACAGCCAGTTAAAAGCTGATCAATCACCTGTTATAAATGCTGAACAAACAAAAACGTCAAATGTTGATCAGTTAAGCAGCCCTGACAGAGGGAGGTGGAACTGTGCTGTCTGATAATGTCAGTACAAAGTAATATTATTCAAAGTTTTAAGGGAGTGTTCAGACAGAGTCAAATGCTAGATAAACGTGTTTGACTGTTGTCCTCACATCATCCGTATTACGCCAGTACACAGTGGAGTTTGAGCGCTGCTCATATGGTGCTGCGAAAAGAGGCAGAATAAAAGAAGATGATGCGACTGATAAAATGAGCCATTGCTCCATATTTTAAATTTCTGTACAGGGAGAGATCCCGTTTTGATCTTGATTTGTCCTAAGCACTAATAATACGAATTCACAGGTCAGAGTTCACCAAGCTCGGACTTTGGATCACAACGACATGCAAAATCTCTCACACAAGCTTGTGTTTCCAGTCTGACCTATATTCATGCTTATGAATGAAAGTCTAAGGAGCTAAAAGTACATTGTGACCACAGCTTTAGGCAGCATCATGTACATGAATTCATTTTAAAATCGCAAAGCTACAATCAACAACAAATTTAAGTAAACAAACTGCAATTTTCTAAATGTTGAGATCACCGTTTCGTCCTATTTGAAGCTGTCCTACAGTTGAGTATATAACATGAGTTGCATACTGTATATTGTGAGCCCAAGTGTAAAGAACTTAAGATATTTAAAAGGAAAAAAAATTACAGATCACTTTAAGATTCCTTCTAGTTAATGGTGTGAATCTGATGGTAAAAAAATTATATGACAAACTCTATTTAACTTGTAGAATGACTTTACAGCTCTGATGGTGTTCAAAATTGACTGAAACCCTCGAATGGCAAAATGTCTAGATGAAGGACAAAAGAACGACCCTTTGGAATATGAAAAGAACATGCTGGACAAGACAATGCTCATGGCAAATGGAGGCCAGGGAAATGTGTGGAATCTCAGTGGTTCAACACTGCCACTGAAATTTCTCTCCAGCTCAGTATTGAAAAGGGAAAATATGTGATCTGGACATACAGAATCTCCATGTTTAAGAGAAAGGTAAAGTTGAAAACGCTAAAATATTAAAATGGCAGCTGAGAGTCCTGATCTAAACCTGATTGAAATGCTAAGGCCATAAAAAACAACTTTGAATACAAAACCCTGATGGTCTTGAAATATCATCATGTTATTATACTATGTATTATACTACATGTATTTAGGTATAAAAACCATACATAAGGTACAGAAACTGTAGTATAAGCAAAATAATTGACTCTGGTCCATGAAGTTATGACAACATCACCACATCAGGTGTGCATCATTTTTGATAATTAATGTTCATCATCAGTTACTTCTTAATTTGTTATGGTTGCAACAGTTTAACTAAACTACAGTCGCCACTGCCTCGCATGGTTCAGGATTGGTAGAGCTACGCATCGATGAATTTGCTCTTCAGTGTTTGAACTCTCAGTAATGATTAAATCACACTGAACTAAGCTAAACTGAACTGAACTGAACTTAAACACTAAAAACTGAACTACACTGTTCCAGTTACTATGACCATTTATGTGAAGCTGCTTTGACACAATCTACATTGTAAAAGCGCTATACAAATAAAGCTGAATTGAAAAAAATTGAATTGAACTATCTGAAATCACTGCCTAGGCATTAGAAAAACAGATTTAAAAATGACTCCAAGTCTGACCATTATCAAAGTCATTAGACAATACCAGCTGGAATATTCTAGCCAAGAATTTAGTTTGATCAGGCACTTTCTTAACAATTCGCATTATTTTATCACCTGATGGAGTATCATCTTGCTTGCTTCCTGTCCGTTTTCTTCATTTTTGCATGGATTTAACTTTTAAAAAACGTTTTAAAACAAAATGTAAAGAAAAAATAATGATAAGACAGCCGGATAAGCATCAAGATGAAAATGAAAACCTGTTTGGTCAGGAAAAAAATGTTAAAAGATTTAAATACCAATAACTCATGGTCATGCTCATAGTCATGCTATTCCAAACTCTTGACCTATTTTTCTCTGTAAAACATAAACAGAGAGGTTCAGTATAATGTTCAAGCTGCACTTTTTAATTAATATTTTGATATTTGATTAAATTAACTGATTAAAAGTGGAATTAAAAGACTTTTTAAAAGTATATCTTTAAATAAACCTTATCTTTTGAATTTTCCATTTATTTAAAAAATCTAAAAACAAACATATAAGTTCCCACAAAAATATAGAATTTCTGGAATTAATAAAAAAAATTAAACATAAAAAGAAAGCCATTTTTTATTTACATTTTTTCTTTATTTACAATCTAATCCTTGTTGAATAGCAGCATAATAATAATAATAATTATATCTAAACATTTATATAGCGCTTTTTCTGGATACTCAAAGCGCTTTACACAATGGGGGGATCTCCTTATACACCACCAGTGTGCAGCATCCACCTGGATGATGCGATGGCAGCCATATTGCGCCACCACACACCAGCTGATTGGTGGAGAGGAGATAGAGTGATGAAGCCAATTATGATATCGGGACTGTTAGGAGGCCATGATGGACAGAGGCCAGTGGTCAAATTTGGACAGGATGCTGGGGTTAAAAATACAAGGTATTTTAAATGACCACAGAAAGTCAGGACTTCGGTTTAACATCTCATCCGAAAGACAGTGCTCACTGAGCAGTATGGAGTCCCCTTCACTACACTGGGGAGTTAGGAGGACCCACACAGACCGCAGTTTGAGGACCCCTGTGGCCTCACTTACACCACTTCCGCCAGTAACCCAGCTTTCCCATCTGGTCTCCCATCCAGGTAATGACCAGGCATAGCCCTGCTTAGCTTCGGTGGGCAACCATGTGAGAGTTGCAGAGAGCTAGCTGCTGGCTAAACTATGAATCAAACAGGTAGCTTTATGTTAAGAAATTTACAGTAGGGAATACATCCAAAATCCTTAAATAAAATAATGCATAGTACATATTAAGCAATGCTCATCAAGCACTTTCTTAATGTGAAGAGCAGCAGCCAAGACATTATGTTTTGAACAGCAGGAGGGTAATTAAATGATGGCATTAATTCATTAATCAAAAAGCAGTACACACTGCCAAGCATTCAACTCGTGCCTGCCAAATGCATAAATGTAAATACACAAGTGTGAGGACACGTATACACTACAGTACGTAATAATGTATCCCCTCATGTTTTATGACACACATCCCCCCACACCCAAGTTTGCTTAACTTTCAGAATGGCATTCAAACACAGAAAGGATGTCTAACAGGCTCAAGAGAATAAATGGGAGGATTGCTAAATATTACACAAGACAATTATATCATAGTAGTTCCTGTTCAGATGCTGTGTATTCTGTGTAATGTGTAGTGCACGTGACGCTGTATTTGTAGTATGATCCTGGTTTGGCTATACGTGTAAATTTAACAAACTTTTTATTTATGCTCGACTGCTCTTAAATAGAGATACTACTGGATAGACAAACTCTCTCTCTCTCTCTCTCTCTCTCTCTCTCTCTCTCTCTCTGTCGCTTTGGTTACAAATACACAAAGCAATTAGGATTTAGAGCAATGTTTACTGTAGTAACAGTTTTGACGTTCAGTAACAGACAAGAGGGGATCAAACAATGGGGTAAAAGCCAAAGTCAATGCAATTCTTGTGATGGCCTTGAGTGATGCCTGGAACCAAAGTGACATAACCATTGTAAATGTTTTGAGGTAAGGTAATACCCAAATTTGCTGCACATTTTCACATCTGTGAAAGGCTCACTGCTGTTATTAGTAGAGACTCCGCTTGTGTCTCACACCATACCATTTTAAAAATGGCATAAGTGCGATATATATATATATATATATATATATATATATATATATATATATATATATATATATATATATATATATATATACACAGTGTCAAGAAATGTTTCTGTCCATAACAGAGATTATCAATAAAAAATTAAAAACATGCATTTAAATAAATCAAAACGGTTACATACACAATCTAATTATTAAAAATTACACACTTTCAAACAAGAATAAAGGTGAATTAAATGAATGAATGAATGAATGAATGAATAAGAAATATGACTAAATACTCTTGTTTGTTCACATTGTTTGAATGCACTTGTTTCCTTTATTTTTATATGTATTATTGTAACTATAAATATTCTACTAAATCATAATCACACACTCTTATTAATCCTTTGCAGCATTAATCGAAGTGCATATTTAGTACTTGTATATTGGTTTTCCAGATGTGGTGTTAAAGAAAATATGTTCCACTAACATGAATGGTTAGGACACATTTTGAATTATTGAAAAATAATAGTAAATGCATGTATTTTTTTGTACTTTCTATTAGCGGAAAAATTCTAAATGATAAAAATGATAAATGTGTGTGAGTGTCTGTGCCTTTTAACACAAATTAAGCCTATTAGAATGATTTCACTGATGAAAACTTCAGCCATGACATCACAGGATTAAATTGAATATAAAAAATATATCAAAAATACATTTGCAATTACATTTATGAGTACATTTTAAAACATATTCTTTTGATTTTTTGACCAGGTATAAAACATGTTAACTGTATCAGTATCTGTCCTTCTGTGTAATTTCTTACTGTATTTTAATTTTTGTCAAATAAAACATTTCACATTAAAATAAAATTGTAATAATTTATTTTATTTTTGTAAAACAAAACAATCTATTTCACAATTACTTCCACTTTAAAAAGTCAGATCCAGATATCTTATATTTTTACTCTATTTTCTTCTACTTTAGGTTTTCACTCTCACTGCTGAACCATGCAAAACTTTTCCCAGTGCATTTTGTCTGATCCTCTCCAGTGACTTCTCAGCCTTAATAGCTGATAAAGCTTTAAATGCAGCCGTTCTACTCTTTTGTGTGAAACAAAACTTACTTTTAGTTACTTCCCCACCAATGCCATTGTTAAACAAAAGTAAAATATTTAAAATTTAAGTGGAATATGTTCCTTATATGTGTTCTGCAAGGATGAGAGAAAGGTTACAATGTTCTTACTTTATCTGGTCAACAATTTGGTCAAGCCGATGGAAAAGATCATGGAAGAGGATGCAGCTGGACTTGCTGTTTATAACATGGCCGTAGCTTCGTTTCCAGTACTGTTTCAGATCATTGGAGTACTCCATCACCTTCAGAGACACAACACAGAGCCTTCAGGCATATGCAGGTAGACTGACAGTGTACAGTAACATTTAGAAAGAGCCACTGTGTTACTACACTAACATGGATTAAACTAAAATGATGCCTTTTAAAAATTGGGGTAGGTAAGACTTTTTTAAATGTTTTGTATAAAGACTTAGGTTCTTATGTTATTTGCTTAAAAATAGAGAGTTATTAATATTTAAAAATAAATGAAAAATATTATTATTATTAAAATATTATTATCAAAAATATGTAATATTTTAAAATAAAAAAACAAGGAAATACTTTATCTAACCTTTAAGCATAACGCATATTAAAATAAAAATATTAGTAAACACCAGTAAAAATGAATAAAGAAACATTAAGTAGGGCAAATAAAATAACTTAATATCTTAAGAACTTGCTTTTGCAAAAGCCCCCTTGAGCAGAATTGATATAAATCTTCCTAAAATAATTCCATAGTATAAGTATTCAAGCCTTTTTCTGTTACGTTTTGCTGGCTCATCACTGAAATGTTTCTTTATTTTTACTGGAATTAATTTGTGGCAAATTCAATTATAAAGACACACAGCATTTGATGTCAAAAAAAACAGACCATGAGGTAAAAGTATTCTTTCTGGCTTTACATTGCTTTAAATAATGACCAACATGAAAGTAGTCACTCTAGCTGAATTTCGTGATTATTTTTTAAAATTTTATTTCTATAGCGCTTTTACAATGTAGATTGTGTCAAAGCAGCTTAACATAGAAGTTCTAGTAAATTAAAACTGTGTCAGTCCAGTTTTCAGAGATAAGCTTAGTTTAGTTCAGTGTGGTTTAAATTTTACTGCTGGAACTCCAAAAACTGAAGAGCAAATGCATTGATGCGCAGCTCCACAACTCCCAAACCAAGCAGGCTAGTGGCAAAGAAACAAACTTCACCAATTGACCAAAGTGAAGGAAAAAGAGAAGAGAATCTTAAATTATAGATGGACAAACTTCACTTCAACACACAACCAATCTGGGCTTTATGCTAGAGTGACAGCACTCGATGCTCATTTTAGTAAAGACATTTGAAATGTGTGTATAAATGAATAATATACCATAATAAACCCTAAAGTATATACCCTAATAATAATAAATACCCTAATAAACCCTAACTCTGCCTGAAATCGTCAAAAAAGCAACATCTCAATATCAAGCCTCATGTCTGGAGAAAACATTTCTCAACACCTGTAAAATAAATTCCCATCAGTGAAGCATGATCTAAGCAGAATCACGCATTGAGGATGTTTGTCAACAAGAGGAACTGTTGCAACTGTCAGTTAAAAACAGCAAAAGATATCCTTAAAGGGATAGTTCACACAAAAATGAACATTTACTGACTATTTATGCATTTACTGACTATTTAAGTAAGTTTCTTTTCTTCTGTTAAACAACAAGATACTTTAAAGAAAGCTAAAAACCTGTAACCATTGAGTTGCATAGTAGGAAAAAGACTATAGAAGTCAATGATTACAGGTTTCCAACATTTTCACATATTTTGTGTTCAACAGAAGAAAGAAACCCATAAATGTCTGAAACAAGTAAATGATGTCAGAATTTTGATTTTAGGGTGGACTGTCTCTTTAATAACCCTCATTCGTAGTGCTCAGAACCACAGACTAAGCTGAAAATTCATCTTCCAATATGACAATCGTCTTAAACACAGCCAACATAATGCAGAAGTGGCTTAAGGATGACTATGTGAACGTCTTTAGACATGGACTCAATCAAACATTTCTGGAGAAACTTGAAAATTGCCTGATCATCATCCTCTATCCAACCTGAGAGAAGCTTGTTGTCAAATAATACCCAAAAACACTTGAGGCTGTATTCACTCGCAAAGCTAAGTCAACTGGGTTAAGGGTATGGATACTTTAGCTATGTAAATATTTCAGTTTGTCCATTGTAGTAAAATTGCAAAGCTGTCATGACGTTTTTGCTTTTTTGTTTTTTTTTTTTTTGCTTTGTCATGATGAAATGTGGACTGTAGATTAACAAAGAGAAAAGCTAAAGCTATTTAATATCATGCTGCAACACAACAACATGACCAGAAATAATGGTTTAAATTCTCTAATAAAGGCTAATAATGTTGCCAAATCATCATCTTCCCAAAGGCATAGTATAATTTCAGATATTACTAGAGGGATATAAATATGTTTATTCTGTGTATTTTACTTGTGGATGGCAATTTTTTTTTTATTCAAAAAGCTGTACAGTAACATTTAAAGCAAGTTATTAAACTAACATGAATTAGACTAGTATTATTCCTTTTTAAAAATTAGGGTAGGTAAGTTGTTTAAATGTTTTTGTATGAAGTCTCATGCTTACCAAGACTACTACGACAAACCATTTTTTAAAATTATTATTATTTGTATGATTTATGAAATTTGATATTATGTAAGTTTTCATTACCAAGCTAAAGAAGAAATCTTGATATGTTTAAAGAAGATTTTCTAGATCAAATGTGGACAAACAGGAAAAACTGCTCAGTTCCAGTACCTGCGCATCTACTTCATCAAAGAGTTGGCACCAAGGTGAGTTCACACTAAGAATGGCAAATTCATATGCACACAGGTAAAACGCTGCTTCCACTGAATCTGCAAAGTAAATATAAAGTCTCATTAGCTGAGGCATTAGACAGTAAAATGTATGCCTTTTAGGAAAAAAATATATGTATAAATATATGTATAAAAATATATATAATATATTCATTTTCTTGTCAGCTTAGTCACTTTATTAATCCGGGGTCGCCACAGCGGGATGGACCGCCTATATATATATATATATATATATATATATATATATATATATATATATATATATATATATATATATATATAGACAAAATCTGGATATTTTTCCAAAGGCATGAAAATCTTTATTCTATTGTCGGGTCAAAGTCTGCCATCTAACGGCTATACTACAAATTGCAGTACATTCAATATGCAAATTTTTTCCCCTCTCATGAACTCTTACTCTGCTCATTGATATCCAACTGTTGACACAGCAGACCAAGAGAGCAACCCTGACCTTTAAACTCTCCAAGTAAAACCTGCTTCATCTGCTCTGTAGAATGCTTTTCTTGCTTTCTTAACTAAGAAATTGATCAATTTCAAATCGACAGCCATTCTTAAACTGTTTCCAATCATTTTAAACAAATAATCTAATTTAAATGCATTGTAAGCTTATTGCTATTCTGTTAGACAATAAAATGTAGCCAAAGAAAAAAAATCTGTAAAAATAGCTTGCATTTTTAGCATATTGTTCCATATTTTGATACAAAGCAAGTCTTTTTAACATACAATAAAATACAATCCAACAGTTTTCATTTTAAAGGTGCAGTATGTAAATTTGACACCCAGTGGTTGAACAAGGTATTGCATTCCTGGATCAAAACAAACGAAAGAGCAGGTTGCCAGAACGAGGGCCAACAGAAGTGAGTCTGACAATCAAACCTAAAGGCTGATTTAAATCATGTATTACATAAAACCAATGCCACGCGAAATAAGTAATATTTTCTATATTGAATGGAGTTTTTGTTCTAACCAACACCGAATTGATATATTAGAAATGGCTTCTATTTCTTGCAGCTGAACTGAACAACAGAAGACTGACCTGGGTACACCACATGTGCTTTGTTCAGTGTTAAATGCTATAATAATGAGTTTGAATGCCATTTTACATGACATTTATTGCCATACTACAAAAGGCAGCAGCAGATAGTTTACCTCAGATGTTGAAAATAAATAAATGCCTTTATGAATGAATGAAATACGCTGTTTTCCATCAAGGCAACCCGGGGTGCTGAAATATAATTGGCTTCACTGGCAATGGGTGGGTTAAAATGGCCAAAACAAAGACAGTGTTCCAGCACGTGACAGGCATTTTTAAAGCAAAATATCTGACTTCAGCATTGTTTTTCAGATAAACAAGAATATCTCACTAATCATTGTTCTCCAAACATATGGTCTTTTTATACTTTAGATGAATCATAAACTTACATACAGCACTTTTAAATAACAAATAAAAAAATAAAGGAAAAATTCAAAATACAAATGATGAAGTCTTATGAAGCAAATATCTGTGCAAGAATTTGAGCATTATTTACATTGTTATAACCAATCAAAGGACCCTAATGTATCGTCAGGAGCCAGGGGTATTATTTTTACCCATTTGAGCTAAAAATCTTGTTTAATACTCTACTGAACAAAAAAATTAATCTCTTGGTGGCCTTAAAGTAAGTCAGATATCAGTTGACAGCCTTTTTTATTATTGGATGAATTCTGCCTTATAGTGCACATAGACTGTAAATAAATGGACTGCAACCTCTGGAATTTAACTGCATCTTAGAGTGTTTATATTCTTTTTTTAACAAATCTTGTTCTGTATAAACAAACTTTTGGAACCGAATGCTGCAAATGTAAACTATGCCAGTGGATACATTTTGTTTTCCAACAGATTAGCAATCTGCTTGCAAAGCATGCCGAATTCTAAACTTTGAAGGGTCAGAGCTGTTGACTAATTTGATTAATGGATTTGATATTTCTCTCAAATCGGACACAAAACTGACTCGCAAATACCTGACATCAAACTATACAGATTCCCTCAAGAATCTCTAAGCTCATTTGCATGAAGTTTTACAGGTATAATCATTGCAGTTGAATATCTAAAAAGACAAACAACGCCGGAGGTATGAGAAAAGTTCTGTCTTCAGTTTTGCATGTAAAAATGTTTATTTTACAACTGTACTGAGGTTGGCCTGACAAGAATTTGGGAAGAAAGAGCGAGTAATAATATACTGATGTGGAAAGTTTTGTGGTTGTGGTTGCATGAGTGTAGCATTTACAGGGAACTGAATTTGCCACATCTATTCTGAAATTGGGGACAACACAACAGCTCTTCCCACAAACCCACATCAGAAGGTTCCCCAATGTACAGTTAGACTTTGTATTCGGTTTTGTTTGGGTGTTTGTGACTGACCATCATTGATGCTGGAGTAAGGGACATCCAGCCTGTCAGCCATTTTCTCCATCACTCTCTTCATCTCGGGGCCTTCATTAAAACGCTTCACTTCTTCCAAGGCACTCTTGTTGTTCTCCACTTCTTTCACAAACCGCTCACACTGGTCAAAGTAACGCATTAAAGCGTCATTCAATTCAGGCTCCAACTCAACTGCTGAAGAAACAAAAACAGTTGAAGAAAAAATTTTACTTGCAACATGCTGCTTCGTATAACTATGATTTAATCAGAAAATTAATGAATCAAAATCTTTTATCTTGTGCATTTGGCTACATGTTTACCAACAAGTTTTTTTGTTTAAATGTGAACTGCATATAATATATAGTGTAGTACACTACCTGACAAAAGTCTTGTCACCTATCCAAGTTTTAGGAACAACAAATAATAACTTGATTTCTGGTTGATCATTTGATATCAGAAGTGGCTTATATGAAAGGCAAAGGTGTCAGGATTACGCTTATTTTACTGAATTAAAATATGATCATGGCTTGATTTTTAATAATTTAATTAGGACAGTAAGGTCTGACTTTGCTTCGACAAAAGTCTTGTCTCTTAGAAGAATTATTGTACTATATAGAATATAAAGTCATGGTGCAGTGGAAAAAGAATTAATATTGTGTATGACTCCCATGAGCTTGGACGACTGCATCCATACATCTCTGCTGTGACTCAAATAACTTAACAGTCATCTGGAATGACAAAGAAAGTGTTCTTGCAGGACTCACAGAGTTCATCAAGATTCTGTAGATTCATCTTCAATGCCTCCTCCATCTTACTCCAGACATTCTTAATAATGTTCATGTCTCATGACTGGGCTGACCAATCTTTGAGCACCTTCTTTGCTTTCAGGAACTTCATGAATGAGCGCTATCCTGCTGAAGAATTTGCCCTCTCCTGTGGTTTGTAATGTAATGGACAACACAAATGTTTTGATACCTCAGGCTGTTGAAGTTTCCATCCACTCTGCAGATCTCTCGCTCCCCCCACACTGAATGTAACCCCAAAACTTGATTTTTTTTTCACCAAACTTGACTGATTTCAGTGAGAATCTTGGGTGTGGGTTCCATTGGGTCTTATGCAGTAGTTGTGATGATTGGGATGCAGTTCAACAGATGATTCATCGGAAAAATCTACCTTCTGCCACTTTTCCAAATGATCAATTTAAAGTCAAGTTATTATTTATTGCTTTTACAACTGGGAATATAGTAAAGACTTTTGTCAGGTAGTGTATATGTTTCAGCTGTCAGTGAAAATCTTGGACGTCTAAGAAAAGCCTTTAATGAATTTAGTCAAGTAAAAAATGCTTGGTGGGATTGTTGAAGATCCACAAGCATATTTTAGATCAAATTTGTAAATGCTTCCTCATAGTATTGTTGGTAAATGAAACATGACTATTTCAAATGTTGTTTTATTCTAAATGCTGTGTCTGCCCTAATTGCATACACATTAATGTCCAGCAAGTGACAAAACAGTACTGATATCAATGATTGTACAAATGGGTCAAAGACAAGATGTTTTGGTTTAGTGTCCACACCAAATTACAAATATTCATATACGTGGCCATGAATAAAACAAAAGCATTTGCTCCTCATAAAATACCATTGCTTTTTTAAAAACAACTGAGATTAAAGGGATGTATTTCAGATGCTTCTTAAAGCATGAAACAAAACAGGTGTAACAAAAAGTGTTAACTGCAATAAAGTCAGGCAAATCTTCATTTTCTCTTTATTGAATTTATTTCTGTTGATGAGAAACATTGCGGAAAATGATATATAAAAGCTCAGAATCAGATTATAGACCGATTTAAACACGTTCATGCTGGGAAACACTGATTTGACAGTGTGGCATGCAGATGATTCAGGATCCGTATGCATTACCTGTTATTTTGAGTCCTGTCATTAGTCCCTCTCTGAAAGCGATGGTACTGTTCACACACCTGTGCTTGGAGCTGGTGATCAGTTTCACACGTTTGCCATGCACATTTTCCCCATTCAGCAAAGAGGGAAACCATTTGATAAGTCTCTGCGCCAGGTGCTTGTGATCTTCACGGCCTTTTTCCACCAGTCTGCCGTCCATCTCATCCGAGTACCACATCTTCCACTGAGACTTGATTTCTGACAAACTGGTTAAGTCGCCCGTCGCGTTAAGCTTCACCAAATCGTAAAATTCTCGCATCTTCTGGATGTTTTTGGTGGTCGGGAACCTCGTCCCGTGCCTGATTATAGCCGTTAAATGAATCTCGCTGCATTTCGAGGACGGCAGCGTTACGAGGGATTTGTTTATGGCTAAAATGTCGTCGATTAACCACGAGTTAACGTCCTCGTAGCGGCCTTTGGTGCCAAAATACCTGGCGATCGTTGGTATGCTGGGTTTTGTGGATGAGTGGAGGCTACATGAGGACATAAAAGCCCAGTAACTTATAACGAGGTGGAAAAGAACGAAACATACTGTCGTTACCACTTGTTTGGCCATATTTGTGTTTTGGTAGCTCGGCTTCTCCTCTTGGTTACCTGGTTTTGCGCAACTGAAAAGTGAGTCATTTCACTCGGTTTCAGTCACTCTTACAGACTGCTGTTTACGGATGTTTACACACCGAGGACCTTGGTGATGTTGGCCAAACAGCAGCTTTCCCTGTTTTCTGCCTTCTTCTGTGCATTTGTGTCATTCATCACAAAATAAAATGTTAGAAATGTTTATTAGAAATATTTTACAGCAATTAAAAAATATTGAACTAAATATATTTTTAAAGTGTTGACCCATTTCCACCCCTGAAAAAACACAAATTCTATCATCTGAATACACTGTAAATACTCAATTTAGTAATCTAAAATGGTTGCTGTTGGAGCACTTTATCAGGAAATTTCTGCCGAGCGGGATTTTGTAGTTTCGTTATTGAATATTTTTAATAAATATTAGAATAGTCACATCACTCACACCAGCTTACCTTCTGAAATACATTCTTTGTTTAAACCACATTTGACGACGTGTAAAAATATATTTTATTCTGAAGAATTTATTGAATGAAGATGGAAAACCGAAAACGTGTTAAAAAAATTTTTTTTAGTCATATTACCTATGCATATCACCTTATATTTTCTAGCTGCCGGCAGGGGGTGCTGTAGCACTCTCAGGACCCCTAGTTCCAATAGTTCCACACTGGTTCCACAGCTATACAGTAAAAAAGTGGTTCCAAAAGTGGACCTCCTAGCGGTCGCATGAAAATAACAGGGGGTCGCTTGGTGATTTCCAAATGTCTAAATATGTTTAATAAACTGTTAAAATTACCATATTTTACTCATAACCCACAGAAGATAAAAAATAGTGGTTAATTTTTACATAAAAAGCAACAACATGCAAATAAAAAGTCATCAGACCTAATAGTTTTTCATATGATTGGTATGTTTACGTTAGAGTAACAACACAGCAATAGTGACTTTGACACCGGTATAGCAATCAAACAGATTAAAAAATGAATAAAGGCCACAGTTGAACATTGAGGACGCTCTCCGAGTGGTGGTCTCCAAAATTAAACCAAGAATAGATTTGTGCTGAAAACATTGTGCCCATCAGTCTCATTAGGTGAGGTTAATATTAAAATAAACAAATTAATAAATTACTACATCAATTATAGCCTATGGTTATTGCACTTTTTTGTGCTGTTGATAAGCTCATGTTTATATAGGCCTATATTATTGTGTGCGCAACATCTGTATATTTATAACCACCTCCGAGGAATATGGGTCGCAAGTCACTGGGATTGTTATTTTGGGGGTCTCGGGCTGAAAAGTTTGGGGACCATTGCAATAAATAATCCAAAAAATAAAGATCTACTTTAAATGTACATTGAAGTCTCTTTAGGAAGTAAGAGTGCATTCATGAAGTCTTATCAAGTAAAACAATAGGCCTTTGCAGCATTATTTAAAACATTATTGTTTGTTTACAACTTATTTTCATAGATCGCATTGTTCAGGGTACCACACATATGATGGGCAACACAAAACCTAAGAGTTTAAGTCTGAGCATATGTTTATAGCAACAGAAAGCTCTTGCTTTAAACTGTCATAGACAAGGACTGTTTGCAAAGGCTTTGGAATGGGCTATATGCACATCTAGTGTTTTCCAGCCAATGATAAACATCCGGTGAAAGCTTAATACGACTATTTTCAGTTTCATAAGGTTCTTTTTACAGCATCGATGTTGTAATGTTATTAAAATACATACAGTTACATAGTTTACACTCGCCAGTGTAAATCCAGCGTACATTCTGGTTGGACCTCCAAGAGGGGCGGGAAGCTGTGTTCCACGTCACAGAAAGTGGGACAAGACGGGATCCCCCCTCCCTCTCCCCTTCTTCACGCAGGACATACTGCTGTCTAAAATCCGCCCACTGACGTGCGCGGAGTCAGTCTCGTATACGCGGCCAAAACCACCAGCCCCATCAAAACACAGTTACCCACTTCTAACGGGCATAATCAGGCGACAGCAGGATATTCCGGAGAGGCTTGTTGTTTTGGCCTGGATCGGAGTCGCGTCGGATCGGACGAGCTACAAGTCCCCTCTGGGGAAAAACAACAACAACACGGTGAGTTCGACTAAAGGGAGCTGTTGATCTCCACTTCACCAGGGCCTCTCAAGAACACGTTTCTTGTATTTTGACGTCCTCCGTAGGTATTATAACCGCCCACTGTGGACTGGGGGAATGTGCTTTCCTCTAGGGTCGAGTGATCCTTTGGCGAGGTAATCTCTCTTTAATCGCTTGCCTAATCATCATGACTAGTTCTACCGTTTCGAAGGTAAAAAGATGCTTTACACGAGACACCAAGAGGGAATTTGCCACGTATTAGTAGCAAGCATTTATGGAAAAAATTCTGCGTGATCTCGATGATCGTGTTAAAGTAGCGTTTGTTCTCGCCAGACGAGTCCGTTCACGAAAGCGTTTACAGTTTATTACACTCAGAGCTGTCACACGCTGACGAGAGTGGTGTGAAAAAAAAGTGATAAAATTGTTAGGCTGCCTTGGCCCACATGTTGCTCTCTGTGGTTGTTGTTTATGCAACTTAGTGCGATCTAACATTTCCCCATTTAAAGTCCTTGTAAAATATACCACACTGAGCGATTAAAGACATCGTTTAAACGAATGTAAAATTCATTATTTGAAATATTTACTCATTTTCAAGCAGACGCTTTTATATACGTTGATTTCTGTGTGGAATTTAGGGCACGCAGTCAGTCGGTTATTTTCGTCTCCTTTAGTATGGCGACTTGAGCAAAGTTAGCAAACGTCACCCGTCTACAAGACGGTTATCCGAAACCGTTATGTCTTTCGTTGTATTTTCCTAAGTATTAATAAAATAAATCATGGGTTTCCTCTGCCAGAGAGCCATCTAGAAGCTGTTGCCATGGTTACATCCTAATTCGATTTCTGTTTGCCAGCGTACACATTCAGCAAACTCGAGCTGCTTTTGTTACTCGCATTTTATGTTTACTAAAACATTATTGCAAAAAAAAAATATGTAGGAATTATAAATACAGATAATTGTGATATCTTTTTATATTAACTGAAACCAGACAGTACATTTTCAGAACTTGACAAAAAAGTCAACTATATCAGTGGTTCCCAAAGTGAGTGTCTTGGGACAATGACAGGAGGTCGTTTGGTGATTTCCAAAAGTCAAATAAATTTTATTAAACTGTTAGAATTACCATGTTTTATCCATAACCCACAGAAGATAACAAAATAGTAGTTAATAGTTTCATAAAAAAAGCAACAACATGCAAATAAAAAGCCATCAGCCTTGTGTGTTTACGTTAGATTAACAACACAGCAATAGCGTCAGCTGAAGCAGACTGTCTTTACAGCAGCAGGTTAAACTTTCTGACCCCTTTATATAAGTCAAATAGATTAAAAATGAATACAGGCCACAACTGAATATTGAGAATGATCACTGAGTGGCGGTCTCCAAAATTAAACCAAGAATAGACTTGTGCTGAAAACATTGTTATCAGTCTCATTAGGTGAGGTTAATATAAAATTAAACAAATTAATAAATGACTATATAAATTATAGACTATGGTTATTAAACTTTTTTTGTGTTTTCAGTATACTCGTGTTTATATGGGCCTATATTGTTGCGTGAGCATCATTTGTACATTTATAACCACCTCAGAGAAATGTGAGGGTTGCGAGTCGCATTATTATTTTGGGGGTCGCATGTACTTAAACTAGATGATCATTTTACAAATCTGAGGCACATTTTATAAAGATCATTTAAAAAAAATGTGTTTCTGATAAATATAGACTAGATGCAAAACATTAAAATCTTTATTCCCTAATACTTATTGTTATTGTTTTATCAGGAAGTGCTGTCAGATTTTTCCAATATCGTGTAGCCCTACATGAAAGCATTTTAAGCGAAACCTTCTGATTCATAAAATGCAATTAAACAGACTTGTACAGGCAAAACCCAATTAATTCCCTTGCTTCCTGACGATACATTAGGGCAGGGCTATTCAATTAGTTTGTCATGGGGACCAGTTCATGAAAAGCATGCTAATCGAGGGGCCGGAGAGATAAGACTTGCAATATAATTGATGACACAACAGCATAAGAGCCCATATGCTGTATTTGTGCTCATAAAGACATCCACATTGATTTTTCTACATTTAATATGTTAATATGTTGTATTTGAAACTACATAACATCAATGCATTGTACAATGTGGCTTTTTTTAACAAGCATATCTAAATGTTGTATTTCAACGCACAAAATCAGTGTATTGCTTAAGTAGGCTTCCTCTACATTCAGACACATTCTTATGTTATGTTTTAAACTGCTTAATTAGGGATGCAACGATTATAGATTTTGGTTGTACGATTTTAGTCTGAAGAATAATCATGGTTTCACAGTTATCACCATTATAATGTGTATATTAAATTTAAAACTCTACTAGTACAGAAAATAACAAGAAAACTGCTTTGTTTTAAAGTAATGTTTATTGCTGCTCAGTAACCAAATACAGCACAAAATATTAATAAAAAACAAACAATAGTCCATTTCTTTCTTTGGACTTAAAAATAAATGAAAAATTTTGAAAACGGCTTGCTGCTATAGTTAATCCAATGTGCGTGCGTATCGGCACACATCGTGCGTAACTTTGTTTAGTTGCAGCATTTTTTTTCCGTGCAACAGAAATGCGAAGCCTTCAATGAATAAAAGCGGGGTTAATAGTGAAATCGGGTAATCATTGCATCCCTATTAATGATATCAATGAATTGTACAAAAAGCCTTTTCTACAAACATATCCAAGTGTTTCCAGCTGCTCGCACCTCTCGTTTAATGTCAGGTGACTCACTCTCTGCGCAGCCTTCAACTGCAGCTTGTGCTGTATTGAACAGATGCACGTCACCTAATAATTATAACGACTGTTTTTCAACTGGACTAAATTTATTTTTGATTTCTTGGTCACACTATTTGGAGGGCCGGAACAAATTGCCTAGGGGGCCAGGTTCGGCCCATGAGCCGCCAATTGAATAGCCCTACATAAGGGTTAAGAAACTTAACATTAGAATAAGCATTAGTAAATACTATTTTAATTAACAAAATAGACTGCTTTGAATGTTCCAAGAATCACATTGAGATCTTGTGAGTGTTTTTCGACCCAAACGTTTCTCAAGCATTGTTCTAAACCAAACCTTTTTTTTAAGGAAATAGGA